TGTGAGAAGAAGGGCCTGAGTTCTCCAGGTGAGCTGCAGGCTGCCATCGACAGTAACCGCAGAGAGGGCCGACGCCCGAGCTACACCAACAGCTTGTACCGCTACTCCCCCTCCCCGAGCTCCGCTCAACACCGCCTCTCTTCACCCACCATGCAGACTACCCCGAACGGCCTGAGTTCATCCGCCAGCCCAGTTCTGAAGAGGAACCCAGGTATGACATATGAGAGTGCAGGAAAACAACAATTGTTCTCATCACAAATAGAACCTGCTGGTAATTGGATGATCCAGCTTCCACCAAACTTCCATTTAAAAAAAAAAAAAAAAAAACTAAATCATTAGAGGTCTTATACTTGATTTTTGAAGCATGTTTTAACAATTGTAACATGTTTTCTATTGTTTAACACATTACAAATCATCCTGGTGTAGAACCAGGTGGATCCTCCAGCACATTTAGGAGAGCATTTTTTTCCATATTATAAACTGCTACCGTTTTTTGTAGGCCGACCCAGCGTCAGCCTTGTAAGGGCTTTCTTGATCAAAAAGCATTGGGATATTTCCAATGGATTTGTCGAATATTGCAGAAAATGGGATCTGTGGTAGACGCACCTTAATGTTTGAATCAGCTGGATAAACACATGTTAACACTACTTTTATTACATTACATTACATGTCACTTGTTAGACGCTTTTATCCGAAGCATCTTACATACTCAATACTGTGGACAATCCCCACAGGAGCAATTTGGGGTGAAGTGTCTTGCCCAGGGACACACCGACATGCTGACTGCAGTGGGGTTTGAACCTGTGCTCCCCTGATCTGAACACCAACGCACTACCCACTGCGCCACACGCCTCCCCGCCCGCCCTTTATAATAATTAAAGCGTTAATGCAATTGGTAGAAGTGAATAGTTAATATAATCCTATAAACAAAATACCTGATGGTCGCATTGTACCCAGCTAAAATAAAGGTGGACTCATGTTCATGTAAGCTTGTGTTATCCACGGACCATTTTTGTGCATCTAAGCAATAACTCATTAAAGAAACGATTTATTTTTGATTCATTTCAAAGTAGCCCGGAAGCGCTCAAATGCGAACACATTTCAAAGTTAAAGACTCATTCCTATACATTCCATTGCCTTTTTCCTTTGCCTATTCTTTAAACACTAATTATAATTTCATGACATGTTTAAAACTATTCCCACTCTGATGTTTTCCCAATCAGATGAGATGCCTACCCCTGTGATGCCCGGCAGGCTGCCCATGGCTCTGGCCCTGGGGCAGCAGCAGCAGCAACAGCTGGCACAAGCTGCCGCGCTGGAGAGTTTCAGAGAGAGGCTGGAGCGCAGCGCTGGAGGAGCCGCAGCCGACGGGCCAGAGAAGAAGATGATGAGGATGGCCGAGGAGCAGCAGCGCCTCATGCAGCAGGCCATCCAACAAAACCTCCTGGCCTTCGCTTCTCACTTCAACCCCATGAATCTCAAACTTAACAATGGACATGGTGAGTTGTCTAGGCTGTGATTGTTATACTGGCTCTTTCATTGCTTAACATGGAAAGTTTATTAAATGGAGTATTTTATTTCCCCCCCCCACAGAGAACAAACAGGATATGTCTCTGAGCATCTCCACTAATGGAGCAGCCAGTATCAGTGTGTCTGTGGAGGTCAATGGCACAGTTTACTCAGGTGAGCGAAACCATTTAAACAGGGTGTATGCCTTTTTTAGTGCTTTTTAAATTCCCCCCAAAAAACTGCTACACCTCTGTCAGAAGATAAATAATATACGCCTACAGGCTCCTGTACACCTCAGTCAATAAAATAAAATATCCTATTATGTGTCTTTAATCCGTACAGAAGCAGGAGATAAACTACAAATTGTGGTTGAATAGGCGAGAAAGGAATACAATTTGAATTTAACTATTTCATGCCTTGGAGCAGCAATTTCCTCACAAAAAATATACTTTTTCACTTTTATCAGCACTAAATTCTTCCTCAAACTTGACTGAATTTGTATGTTTTTTTTATGGTTTTCATTGTAATCTGATCTCTGCATTGCAGGAAAGCTGTTCGCCCAGAAGTCGGCTGCTCCTGCGGCGTCGCAGGCTGTAAATCTGGCAGGAACGAATGGTTTCAGTGCCATGTCCTCCTCGCATAGTCCCTCCTCTTCGTCTTCCACTTCCTCTAAGGGACCAAATTAAGCCTCACTTGACCTTAAATGTGTCCTCAGCAAAATTATTTAGCACCATGCAAAAACTGTGTGAACTCTTAACTAAACTGCTGTCTCCTAGGACCCCTAGTTGTGCTAGTTGACTTCCTGTTTGTCTACTCGAGCAGTGCAGAAAGTCAGCCGTACCACTTCAGGAAATCATTATTTTTACAATATAATGTGCTTTAAATAAGTTTTGTCAAGAGGACAGAGATGTTTAACCTCAAAGGCTTTAAAACTGACCATAATATAGATTCAGATCAGAGTTTACCTTTGTGCCTGTTAGATGTTTTTTCTTTTAAATGGCTTTACAAGGTTTGTTCAGAAGTGAGTTTTGACTTTTCTTTGGTTTGTCAACTGCATTTATGTCTAATTAACTAACAGTTTTGTAGCTGCCTTTTTCCATAGCCATAGTAGAACAGTATGGTTGCCAAAATGCAGCTAATGAAGACCAAAAAGCCTTAGCTCAATGTCATAGCTCCTGTCTGTAACTGTTTTACTGGAGCCATTTTGTACCCCTTTTAGTTAAAATTTGGTTTAACCCGGCCGAAAGCTCATAGTTTAATAGCAGCTTTCCAGGTTTATGTATAAAAAAAAAAATTAGAGAAATGTTTTGCAGGTTGGATTTTTGTATGTTTTGTATTGTGTTTCATTTTATCTTTTTTTATATTTAATCATTTGGCTCAGCCTCAAATTAATTTCAAAACAATGATTTCATGTCAGCTTTGAATCAAAGGCAAAACCAGAGAGACGGTTTTGCTGAGAATTATATGTAGGGTGGAAGTGGTTCAACATTTACCTCAATTGACTTTCCATGTTGGTAAGTTTCTCGGGAATTTCTTCTGGACTCAGGAATGTCCTTTTGGACTCATCACTGTTATACTGTATCTTATAATATATATTGCTGTGTTGTGTTTGCATTAATGCAGAGAATGTATCACTAATGACCTCAAGCTTTTGACAAGTGCACACTGAAACAGTGCTACCTCACTCTTCTAGAGAAATATGCAATGCTTAATGCAGTGTGTTGGTTTAGACATCTGCTGAAATGGACTGTATGTGGACAATCAAGTAGACATATCAATCATGCAAACAAATGTCACTGTGAACATCAGAAAGCAAGGTGTATGCTAAACTCTTTTTTGATCTTTGCTGAATGTATTTCTTGGACATATGGCCATAAGGAATAAAACCATCTTGTGTGCTGTAGAAAGACTGTTTTTTTTTCTGCAGCCAAGTCATTGTTACCTTTGGAAAACCCCTGCATTTATGGGCTTGTTTTATTATGTTCCAATAGAAGTTAGCCTTGCGGTTGATAATGTTCGTTTAAGATGATAACATTTTCTAGTAGTCTTTTAATAGACGTGTGTCAGCTTGAAACAATCCTAATAAGTAGGTAAGCATTTAATAACTCTCAACACAAGGTCCACTTATTGGCTGTTGACTGATCTTCAAACTGCATCTCACAATCTTCACCAGTGACTGAAATGATTTTTGATGTCACACACACTGATCCCAATGTCCAGAAATGAATTTCCATGTTTAGATGTATGTAGGACATTCTAAAACCTGGTTTGTTACCAAAAACCCAAATGGTAGAATGTAAATGTGTCTTTATTCAACTGATTGTACTTTCCATTTAATTTGACTTCACACTTCCAATCCAAAATGCACTATTTACCCTGCATATCAATCAAGGGTTTACATAGAAAACACATGGATCATTTTACAAATGTAATGCATTGTCGTAAATTAAACACATTATCAAATTACTTTTGATATTTTAAGTATATTTTGCTAAAAATAAGTATGCACTTTAAATACTTTTTCCGCACTATAATAATTTCTAGTTTTACTCCAGTAAATGATCTGAATACCTGCACCTTGGCTGGACAGTACATGCCAAAGGAAAATAATACACGAGTGAGTGGCCAGATGGGGGTAGTATTTACTCAGCTATAAAAAAAAATGAGACCACCAGTTCAGGGGTCTTATTTATCTGTAAACCTGCACATTTATCCGTATTCAATGTATCATCTCTGCTTTTAATCTCTTTAGCCAAGAGCATGGACCAGTAAACATGCAGTATTTGTTTCCCCTGTCTTTAATCTTAAAAGTCATTTATATTTTCTTCCTGATTGAGACCTTGGTGTTTTTCCCACATAAGTCTATCAGAAGTCTACTTAATTCCTACATGGAAGAGGAAGAACGGAAAGAGTCTGTATTGAGTTAATTCCTGAACTCTGCATGCAGACCTTTGACAGACTTTATACCGGGTTAAACTAATGGAGATGAGAGCTCACGGGTCAGATTGAACAGGTTGTAGGATTTAATGTGGGGGGGGGGGGGGTTATTCTATAACACTGCTGGATGGCATCTGGAATACTGTAGAAGAAAGATGCTACAGGCACAATTCAGAGGTGTTATCAGATGATATCTCCGCCCACTGCCCCGCCAACCAGGGCGGAATAATACTCGTCAAGTCACTCTGCGGATGAAGGGATCACTGTCCTCGGACGATGACTGGAATATATTGTCAATGTGCAGGTTTTATTACTCAAAACTGAAACTTGTGTTTTAAATAGTGTGATTTTGTTGTGCCTTTGTGTTTCTGGCACACCCAAATAATGGCATAGATTGCCTGAAACAAAATCATGTGAGGGAGATCTCGAGGACTGAAAGCCAGAATGTGGTTTAATAAGCCCAACAAATGATCCTATTCACCGGGACTTCTTGGTTTCTACTTGTGGATGTTTTAAAATAGGCTCTGACAAACCTTCAGCACTCTGTTGGCACCATGCCTTACCACGATGAGGAGTATCCGGGTCAGCCTCTGTGGCAGTCGGTGCTGCTCTTCTGCTGTAAGGGTATGATCGAGGGCATCATGGTCATACTCTTCTTCTGGCTCCTGGTGCAGGTCCTTTTCACCAAACAACTGGAAGGTATGGCCCTAAAGGATAAGTTCACAGTTTTTATGATTCTAAATTAACATCCGCATGGTCATATTTGTACCAATACAAGTATGCGGTACAACGTTTTTAGGCATGTGAATATTGTTTTAAAACAGGTTTGAAAATAATGAACTACTCCTTTATCAGTTAGTGTGAAATCTTGTTTCTGTGCTTTAAGGCAAATCATGGGGTAAAATAGAATGTCCTATAACATGTAATTCAGGGTGAGTTTCAACAGTTTCTGAACCATCTGATTTAAGTTATTATTCTCTCTTTTGTCTGCAGTTCACCTCCAAATCCTTCTTTTGGTCGGACTGATAGCTTTTTGTCTCAGTTTGTGCCTGGGATGTGTCCTGTGCTGGAGAAGTCATATGAGTGAAGTGAAAGACAAAGATGCTGTGACTTCAGTACCGGCTCCTGCTGAACCTTTGACCTTTGTCCAGAGCCCGCCTCCCTCATTGCCAAGGCAGCAATACGAGGAGCTGGACGGAGACATAGTGGAGTACCCCTCCACTTTCACCAGCCCTGCCCCTTCTGTGTCTGAATTGTCCTCTCTGCCATTCTCTCAACCAGCTAGAGCTGCCTCTGAACAGACGCACCAGCCAAAGTCTTATTTCTCCCTGCGTCGCCTCAACACAACACCACAAACAGCCCCCCTTTACAAAGCCCTTGATCCCAGCCATGCTTCCCTGCCTGCATTTCCCAAACTGGGACAGTTGTCCAAAAAATGTAAGACTCTGCAGAGGCGCTGCATGGTGACTGGAGATAAAATATCTTACAATGAACACAGCCGGCTCACTGGCCCCAGTGCTGTCTCTCCTTCAATGCCTGAAGAACGAATCCCACTGGCTCAACTGAGCTATGGCTCCAGTGCCAGCTGCCAACAGCCACTATCACCAAATCCCTGCCTCAATTTCACTATGGCTTTCTCTCCTGATCAACAAACCCTGGCAGTGACTGTGCTCTGCCTCACTGGGACGCCCCACAGGCTGCAGGATGTGTCTGTGCTGGGCAGCCTGCCGCCTCTCTACCCCTGTCCCATACAGGCCTCTGCCCAGAGCAGCCTCAGCTCAGAGACCCACAGCCTGGTGCTGCTTTTGAAGGTGAGCTCTGTGAAGGAGCTTATGAGGTGTGTCCTGAGAATAGCCATATACACACGGGAACCCCCCAGCATGAGAGGCACCACGCTGGCTGAACTGGAGGCTGAATGTGGAGGGAGAGATTGGGGATCAGAGCAACAATTTCACTTCACAAAGGAGCTCGATCTAAACAAGTGGAGGACAAAAAAGGTACTGGTGTGTTGAACTAAAATATGTGAGTAGGTGTTGACTTCATTCTTAAGATATAGAGCAGAATAACCTGTAAGGACAACTGTGTCAAAAACATGTTGCTGGGCCCCTTTCGAGCATGTTTACGATGCATGTTTAAGATTAAAGGTCAAGACCTTTAGGGGCCCATGTGGGTCTCGGGGCCCAAGGCAAAGTGTTGCCTGTTGAGCCCAGTTGGTAATCCTGTAGAAAGGTCACAGCTAAATGGTCTGCTGAAACGTGCAACAAGCGGAAGACATGGAGACAAACAAAAATCTGTATTTGTCAGTATATAAAAAGACGATGTTTCCTATGGTGATTTATCTGTATGTTGTACTCTACAAAGCTACTGTACTACACATGCTGCATGTCCTGGGGATCAATGTTTCTCTTTCTGCTCTTTGACGGCAGAGTCTGATATCACACGATGCACCTCCCTGTAAAGTGCTAAGCTGTCCTCCACAGATCTACATTTTGCTTCAGTATCAGACTACGGACCACCGCATCAAAGCCACGGTCCTCAGAGCAGAAAACCTAGAAAACCTCGTCCACTCGCTGGCAGCAGCAGGTAAAGCCGGCGTTTAATGTCACTAGAATTTGACAAAATGTGTATTTCATTCAGTGATCCTGTTAGGACAACCTGCATGGGGATTATGTAAGCATGCAGGGCGGAACCAACTTTTGCTTTTTAAGGACTGAGGTAAAGTAATTCCCTATGTTTGCTTGTAATGTTTAGGGGATTAAATGATGTCTTACAGGACTCAAATGCAGCAGGAGATCATCCCTTTTTTTTAATGACATTGTAGTTTAATCCCTCACTATTCACAATCCGCAGGAAAATGTTCCAATCTCCTCTGGATCTGACAGATCTAATCTTTGTTTGCATTAGCCTGTCTAGGCATTAATTTTATTGCAGACAAGCACATCCTGTATAAAGAGCCATTAGATGATATCTGTCTCAGTGCCGTTATGTCACATTAATTTTACTAGGATAATCTGCTTGTTTTATATCAGATGTGTTCATGCGACTAGACAAAATGGCATTACAATGGATAAAGATAGGGGGGGGGAAATGTACGTTATGCATACAGTAAGAACAGTAGAAAATGTTGTCAGTTTGATAAACCTACTCGTGTGATGTGCTTTTTCAACATTTCTACCTTTTAGGTTTAGGTTTTACATCTGACTCATCTATAAGAAAATGCCTGCTCGGCTGCATTTTAGTGCAAGAAAATATTTTACACCAAAAACATTGTGGCATGCGAACTCTACTCCACTGCTTCCATTTGCTGTAGTTGGAAAGCCACTTCTTTCCTGCATGCATTTGAATATCAGCTGTCATGTTTAATGTTTGTTCTACAGTAGACTTTCTTTCACACTTATAATCTTTGTGTGCACAGAATACCAGGTGGTGATCAATCTGCATAATAAAGGAGTCATGATCAGCAGCAGAGAAACTACTCTGTGGGATTCTTCTTTCCTATTTGACCTGCCTCCATTTGAGATCACTCAGCTGCCCCTCCTGCTTGAGTTTGTTATCATGCAGGTAAATATCACAGAGTAAAATGCATTTATGCCAATTTATACATGTTTTCTTAACATAACCCTCTGAATCCTACTTTCTATTTCCTCTCTAATGGGACACATGTAGGTCATTCCTGAAGGGAAAGCTGTCGGTCGAGTGCTTATCGGAGCAGAGGCTGCAGGTGCAGGACTCGCTCACTGGAGGGACATGTGCAGCCTGCAGGTGGAGCAGGCACGCTGGCACATTGTACAACCAGAGTGTCTATAGAGTGCTGACACTCACGAAAAACTTTGGGAGCAGTGGACCTGATGTATTGTTGGAACTCAGTGGGTATCCGAAGTTAAAAATATCATGTCACCCTTGCCATAAAGGACACACAGCTGGTGTTTACATTGTATATCAAATTGTTTGACTACTGAGAGTTCATTTGTGTGTATATATATGTATATGGGCAATCAGCAATAGCCTTAGTAATGGCCTTATTTCAATGGATCAACCTGTTAATACTCAGTTGGGAAGGTACTGTAAGTGCACAAAACAACCTTTGTAGAGTTCAGAATGCATGGTCTTCTAACAGAACAATGTATGTCGTCTTTCTAAATGGATCTTTTACATTTTTTGGAGAACTTAATAATATCTTATAACCATTCAGTCACTCGATATGTAAATAAAAGGAAAAACATAAAGCTACTTGAAGTAATCGTTTAAGTCCTGCTTAACATCAGTCCTTGTTACTAAAATCCATGCAATACATTTATTTTTTCATGTGCATATGGAATTTTATTATTACTCTAAGATCCTTTTTTTAAATATCGTGTTGGCTGTTGGACTTTCTGAATGATGTGAAGAACGGTAGTTTGTCATATGAATAAAAGACACGTTTTGCTTGCTTGGTGACTTTTATTAACAGTGTCATCTGAGGTAAAAGCATCTATCAAGTATAACCTTAACATCATTGTGTCTTTAAATTGCTGAAGTAAGTTAGTCCTTACATTTATTTTGAGTAAAACATTTAAAGCTATAAGGCACAAAGTTAGCTGGTTCAGCACAAACACCTCATTTGTCTCCTTCCTCCTCTTCATCTTCATCTGGGCTACAGATATCTACCAGCTCAGCCAGGAATAATCCATCAGGATAGAGCAAAGCGGGCTTGGTCTGCTGCAGGTCGGTCACATCTGAACCGAGAGCAGTCTTGTTTTTTGCAGTAAGAGGGCAGTCCTGGATTGGTTTGCACCTTAGTGTTGCTGAATCAGGGAAAAAAAGACACAAGTCACACAAAACATACACATTTTAAAATGTCATATCTTGCAAATACAGAAGATAGAAAATCAAGCAAGAACAGAAGAAGAAAATAAAAATCATTAAGATCAAAGTAAACAAATACAAATTAGAAAAGTAGCTTGTTATTGTATTAATAATGTATGAATCCCATAGATTTCCCAAAAGCTGGAAACTATAAACATTGCACATATCAAAGCAAATGTCTACACTACTGATTATTACATTAATTCATGCACAACTTCACCTGGCAGCAGATTTTCATTTTTTGCCTTCAGTTTGCAGATAACTGCAGTCATAGTTGACATCTGGCAGGGGAAAGAGCAGTTTTTAATCTCTAATTTCATCTTTATTTTTGGTGCAGAGACCTCTTTTGCAGATGTGTCTGTAGAATGCTATTTAAGTAAATTGTTGTTGTTATATGTTTTTCAAACAGAAGCTTAAAAAGTGCAGAAGAGGGCAACTTCTTGTTTATCAAATAAGATCTGCATCTGTTGTCACAAAGTCTAAAGTTTTAAGAAGATAAAATGTGCAGTTTCTTATTTATCAGCACTGCAAACCATTAAGGGCTTTTAAAGACTTTGATAAAGACTTGTTGTATTTTATCTGAATGTTTTTCAGTACAAGACACTGACGTACTGTAACTCTTTCCTATCCTCTCATCATTGAGTCAGACGTGTTCAGCTTCAATCCGATTATTTACCCAGTAGAAAGAGTCCTATGTGAGATTATAGCTGAAAGACATTTCACATTGCGTTTAAGTGGTTATGCAGCCAGGCTGACACTCCTCCCTGTGTGCTGTATGTTCGTTGATTAAAGCAGAAACTGGGATGTGTGTGTGTGTGTGTGTGTGTGTGTGTGTGTGTGTGTGTGTGTGTGTGTGTGTGTGTGTGTGTGTGTGTGTGGGGGGGGAGTTCTGCTCATTTTATTATATCATCTATGCAACGATTAAGCCATCAATGATATTAATTTCCACCGGTTGCAGATGCTAATACATTATATATCAAACATGCTTGCATGCAGACAGGCAGATGCAGATGGTCTTGTGCTGTGTTGTGGTTGGAGGTTTAATACTGATGTTTTAGCCATTTAGCAGTTGCATACCACCTGTTTAGACTGTTTGTTTATGCTTTTCTACTTAAAAAAACGTTAAATTTGATGTAATCTAAGTCTGTGCAACCTGTTGGCTTTGGTTGTGCCAGTTTTCCTCAACACGAGCCTCCTCCCCTCCTGGACAGTCACACTCCTCTTCATCCTCCTCAAACACTGGCATTAAACCTGAACCATGCTGCCAGATCCTCCTGTCCACTGAATTCTGAATGGAGAAAAAAATGAAAATATTTAAGTTAAATGTAAAAACTCTAGTTGTATATGTTAGTTTCTGAAAGGTTCCTCACCCTTACACCCTTAGATGTTTGGGTCCAGTCTTCTGGTGAGGAGGGTGCATTTTCACCTGCAGCTAATCTGTTGTCAACAGTTTCCATCTCTTTTCCTTCTCGCTCCTTAAACAGATTCTTTAACTACAACCATGGTAAGATACAGTATATTCATCAAGTGATGCTTTGTCATTTACAAAAAGTAAAAACAAGGCTTACAGCGCTACATGGCTCGAGCTAAATGCTAATGTAATGAATATAACAATGCTAACGTGAGGATGTAGCACCAGCGCCGTGTAGCACCTTTCACCTTTGTTACCCTATTAGTTTAGCATGTTAGCATGCTAACACTTGCTAATTAGCAGTGGTGGAAGAAAGAGGCTACTTTTGTTTAGGCCTACAAGTGAAAGTTATATGAAAAGTCAAACTAATCAATTATTCAGAATTGACAATTCAAGTATTATTCATATTATATTATTTGATTATAATGAACATTGCAACTGGTGTAGCTACTTTATTCTCTTCTGGTAGCTTGTGTATTTCAGCTAAATACTCTCGGGAAAGTATGTCTAAATAAAATGCTTGACCTATTCATCAAATAGTTGTTGAGATATTTCGGTCTTAAAAATGTATCAGACCAACATAACCAACCCTAGATCCTTGTATTTAAACAAACTGAAATGGTGTTAGCATCAGGCATTGTGTACCTGCTCAGTGACCATCCTCCTCTGCTGGTCTGTCTCTGGATCTAAAGGAGAGACAGTTTTATCCTTCCTGCCTTCACCAGATGGTATCTCATCTTGAACCTGTAGATAAGAAATCTGTCATTCATTATGTTCACTACCACTATAGAAGACCATCCTTAGAGGTGTTGTTTTTATGAACTTTACCGGATAAAGCTGCCTCAGTGTTTGGAGCCTCTGGTCTGACAATGTTTCTTCTTCCTGCAGCTGCCTCGTTCTCCTCCTGCTCTCTGAAATCATATGATGGAAGAAGATGTTTTACATCTGAGCCAGTGAGGAAAAGCATTGCATGAACCTACCAAATGTGTATTTCTTTTAAAACAGGCTCTTACCTTCCAGCTGGGACCTCAGTGAGTTACTGGTCCAGATAGTTGCTTGGTTTCCATCATCCTGATCTTCAGAGGACTTTAAAGTGAGTGTTCATGAGAAACAGATGATACAGGAAGAAGAGATGTGCTGGTTATTCCAACCGTTCAAGCGCAGATCTATTGTGCTTTTAATTAATAGCTTGATGAGGCCGCATGTTTAGATTGAGAGAAAGAAAGTGAGACATCTTTAGTTGAACCTGTTGTTTTCAATTTCTCTCAGCCTTTCCAGACTCTTAAAATCTTCTTCATTATCACATTTAGATGATCAACCGGTTACAGAATCACTTCCCAGTCTTTAAGACAACTCAGCATTTGTTATCTTTTTTTAAAGAAAGCTTACTTTTCCTTTTGTTCCCTTACTCTGACAGTTTTTGCTTCTGCCTTAACCTCGCTGCGTTGTATACACACACCTTTATATCAACACACACACACACACGCCTATATATCAAGTCAACTGTAAGTATCCTACACACTAAATATTTATCCTACATACATGTTTACATAAAAATACATCACTGTAGCCCCCTACCCCCACCCTAAGTTCAAAAGTCCAGTGAGAGAGGAGCATGTCGTTACCTTGGGGGCTTTGTTTTGGCTGCGGTGAGAGGCTGATGACGGCTCCCATAACAAAGAGGATTCTGATAATCTGATGAACAGATAGTCAGAGTACACGATAAAGACTCAGATAACAGAATTTCATTTTGAGCGTTTGCTGATCATGCATTTTGAAAATGACAATCTCATCAAAATCCACCCACTCTGTCTGTGTCCCTCTGTCCTCAGTCTGTGCCAAGGCATCAGTGCCTGCAAATACAAGGTCACAGCACTTTAACGCCCCCTTGTGTTAACACAATAAAACAACACTTGTTGATAACATTTGCAGGTGCCAAAGACTGCTGAAAGAGAAGTGCATTCACCTTTATCTTCACATCTGTGAAGCAGAGTCCTGCTCCTCTCCAGCTCCAGCTGTTGTTTGCATGCGCCAAGCTCAGCCTTCAGCAGCAAGTCTGATTCCTTCAGATAAAATGCATATTGGTAAAAAGTGACTCTCTTGTCTTTCTGGCCCTCTATCTTAGGTCTTTTAATCTCTGTTGAGAGATTTACAGCTTGCATCGAAATGCACTGAAAGCCATTTGTGGGGGATACCCATACATACATTTCTGGAGTTGTACTTTTTGACTTCCTCTAGCTCCTCTTGTGTAGACTGCAGGGTCAAAGCCAGCCTTTGCCATTTCTGTGCCCAGTGTGAGGCCACAGCCTTCAGTTCCTCGTTGCTCTGGAGTCTCCCTGCGTCTTGTTTCCGGTGCTCTACCTCTTGCAGTTGTAGCTTTTCCTCCCTCTCAAGGACCCCGGCCTCCAAATACATGCATCGATCCTGCAGTTTCTGCTTTTCTAATTCCAAAACCTCCACAGATTCCCTGCATAAATAGTTTGTGGGTTTGAGGACAGAGGGTACCCTACTTTTTCATAAGTTTATCTCCAGAATTGAAGGATTTGTTACTTGATTAACATCTCACCTGAGCAGGTGGCACTTTTCTTTAATCGCTGTTATCTCTTCATGTCCACTTCCACTAACTCTACTCAGCAGTTCCTCTCTTTCTGTGGTCAGCTGAGCGCAGTCTGCCTCCAGACCTGTGATCCTTTTAGAGATGGTTAACCTCTCCAAGGTTTCTTCCTGTAGCTGAGACTGTGATGTTTTCAGTTTCTGCTTAATCTCTTCAAGCTCCCCTGTCAGCTTTTCATGTACCTGTTGTAAAGACACAACATTTTATAAATAATTCAGTAAATGTGAAATAAAAAAAAGGATGTTTAGTTTAAGTTTTCCACCTCTTTTAGCGACTTTAAATCTTCCTTCGTTTGAACAGTTTCCTGATTGCTTTGGGATTGGCAACCCTCTGAACCTTGTTGGGTCCTCTCCTTAACAACACACAACAGAAGAAAACAAATCTTGTTGTAATCCACACACATTATATGTTTATCTTAAATACCTTAGACACAGTTGAACATGTAATACCTGGATCAGGTGATCTTTGTCAAACCCTGTCAGTTTGGCCTTCAGCTCTTTTATATTTTCCTCCAGTTTTAGCATTTGAGTTGACAAGATGGCTTTTTCCTGAGAAGAATTAAAGACAAATTTCAAGATGTAATTCTTTCCGATGATTGTGAAACAAAGGGCCCCTTGGCACAGACATGCAAAAAACACCACATGTCCTACAGACGTTATAGTTCTCTTTGTGTTAATCATGCATTTCTTTTCGGTTATTTAATCAGCGGCAGACTTACCAGGCATGCTCGGCTGATCTTGTTGTTAGCCTCACTCAGCTCTTCTTGCAATGTAGAGAGATTCTGTCTCCTTTGATTCGTTTCCTCTATTTGATTCAACAGAGTCTGCTGTGTCTAGAAACGTAGAAACAAAATGCACAGAGCCTAAAGATGTGTACATTGAACAAAAACTAAATAGCAGCACAACAAACAACTACAGTGTGATTTTGTTCACAAATATTTTTTATAGTATATTTTAAGATTTCCGATATATCATTTATACCTCTGTAGAAATCTGGAGTTTCTTGAGCGCCTGGTTGAGTTCATCTTCTTTTGTCTTTGCCCTCGCCTCAGCATCTCTTAGAGCATCTCTCAGCTTGCACAGCTCTAAGTCAACATTCTGCGTAACCTGAATTAAAATCCAAGTCAGAGATTGGCAAACAAAACTATGGAAGAATACTTCATTTAGAAAACATATCTGTTTTTATAATACAAAAAGCTTACCTGTCTGTTAAAGTTGTCTTGACTCTTCGGTAATGTTCCGCCAGGCGAGTCAAGGTTTCTCTCCGTTGGCTGATCATGGCTCCTTCTGTCCAAAGTTGATCTCAGATGCAACAACTCTTTCTCCAGCTGTAGCACCCTTATGAGTGCATTTCACATCAGTACTTTCAATCTTATCTAAAGTCTTTTCACTTTTCCTTTCGATGTGTTTTGCTTCACTTACCTTTCTTGAAGCGCTCTGCGTTGGTGACTCTTTTCAAACTGTGATAATTCAGCTGCCTCTTTCTCCTGCTCCAAAGTGGCCAGTGTTTCTGACAGCTGCTGTGAAACACATCAGTGCCAAACAGGATGCTGTGTGCGTATGAAACAAGATTAAACTTTTACCATAGTGTCCATAATGTTTTCGCTTACCTTATGTTTCATGTCAAGCAGTTGTGAAGCAGTTATGTTGTGGCTCAGCGGTGAATTTCTCATCCTCAGCCGGTCCAGTTGAGTGTCTAAACGCTTGTGAGCATCCTGCAGCCAATGGGCTCCTTCTGCTTGTCTGAAGCTACTTTCACCTCGGGCAAACCTTAATACAGATCCTGGAGATGGAGGAAAGGGCTGTGTCGCACATTCAGGTGCTAGGTGGGACAACGACTGCCACTTCCTCAGACCTGGGTCACTCTGTCTGAAGCCACCAGTGCTCCCAGATGTGCTGGAATACATACAAATATATCAACCAAACCTTATTACTATGCATCGCTGACTTTAAAATTGCCAAAAGCATTTCTGACACTTAACTCATTTCAGTATTTCCTCACCTGGAGCTGACATCCGACAGAAACCCAGTCCCAGAGACAGTTGCGGATCCACACCATGCTGAGCTCTAAGAAAGAAAAAAACATATTTCTTAAAACAACTACTCTCTGATCAACCAACCTGATATACCAGATACAAGTATTTGGGTCTTACTTGAGCTGTAAAACGAGATTTGGTGTCCCACATGTCGAGGTCACTGAGAGAAAATGGACTTGAGCTTCTGTACGACGGTCTGAACATTTTGGAGAGTCTTCCTCGATCCAAGTCATGTCTTCTCTTTGTACGGGTGAGGCTGCAGTCTTCCTCTCCCCACGTATGACAGGGTTAGATTTTCGCACAAAGGTGGCAGCTTGAGGTGTGTGGCTATTCTTGGACCATGTGTCTAGATATTTCCATTGCTTGCGTGATGGTCAACAACTAGTTTTAAAACAGGGTTTTTGTGATTCACATAATTATTTTGTCTCATTTTATATTTGTTTATTCACATATTTTTCTACTTTAAAGGCAATTATGTCTGTATAAAAATGTGATTGACAAAAAAATAAACAATACATCTTTTGATCTAATACCTGAAGTCTGCACACAATTGCTTCCTCTTACAGTACCTTGCTGCAGAAACCCCCTCCTCTCCACTGACAATGCTCACTTGATTTGCTTGTAAAGCATCACACAGCTTTGATTGCGAGCTTTTCAGTGTACAGTCTTTGAACTGAGTATCCATGGTAACTTATGTACACAGGACTCAGTGAGATGGGTGTGTCATGTGCTAACACTTCTGGGATAGTCTCCATATGATCTCACTGCTGCTGAGTGGCTGTTTGTTGACATGAGTCGTTAGGAACATCTCCCCAACACTGATAATAATGCACATAGCTAACCTCTGATTAATGATGTACGACAGTGAATGTGTAATGATTGATGATGGTTGCCTTAAGGGACACATACAAACAATGATTTATAATTATGCTGTTAGAGGGTTTTTTGCCTTCAGTTTCAGTAACTAATACAATTATATAAAAATTGCCTATTGAGTTATTTTCTATTCCCCCTTATTGCCGTATCTATATGGTTTATAGTTAAATTACAGGTGTTGTTATTAAATACAATATAGTAGAGGATATAATTTTACCGCCAGGGATGATGAATGTCAGATAGTAACATGGCTTTACCAAGTATGTTGACACTCTCCAGCTCAGTGTGAAATATTGCATGCAACTAATTAAATAGTTGTTTCTTTGCATAGTCCAGGCAAATCATTATTCAGCTCTATGCTTCAAAAATATTGCACATCCCAATTAATTATGGTCATTAGCGCTACATGTGACTCAGACTTTCAAACAAAACAAAACAAGACAAAACAAAAACACAAGCTTAAAAGGGAAAATCAGCAGCATGTCAGATTGTGCGTAAAAATGTCAGGGTTAAACTCTTATTTCGAAAAACGCCTTATACCGGAAGCAGGATGTTGTCATTCAGCAGCTAGCACCAGCAGCATCTTTTGACCATTCAATAAGCTAAGACCTAACAGTTTAAAGGAGCTACAATTTTCCTTACAGCGCCTAACTTTACACTGTATTCATTGGTTTTCAGGAAAATAGTGTGTTTCGTATCGATTTAAAAAAGGTACAAAACTTAAACAACACGTGTTTAACCAAATACGGTGTTTGCGTCTTTAAATTAACGCTAGAAAACAGGCCGAAGCTAACGCTAGTCACTTAGCATAACTTCGGTAACCTCATGTAATCCGTGTTTGTGATGTCCTGCATTCAGAAAGTTACTGAATAATTTAAAATCACGTTTGAAGTTAATACAAATATTATCCGACAACTAGCTAAATATTCTGTTCTTTATCCTTGTGCAGTCATGGCAGCCGATTGGTTGGGCAGTTTGGTGTCAATTAACTGTGGTCCAACGCTGGGAGTGTATCAAGGAGAGGTGGTGTCTGTGGACCAGTCCAGCCAAACCATCTCCTTAAGACAACCTTTCCACAATGGAGTCAAGTGCCCTGTTCCCGAGGTCACTTTCAGGTAAAGCTGTACTTTATTTCAATTATTGGCTCTTCTTCCTCGGTTGCATCCAAAATACAACACATTAACAACAAAACAAAAGGAGATACAATACGAGAAAGTAAAGTAAGCACCACAAATATAATCAGCCTTCACATACAGTATCATATGTAGCCTTAAATAATTGCTGTTATTATTTTCTTTATAAAATTGATTGATTCATGATTGATGTAGTCCTTTTATAGCAGTTTATTTGAAGCATTGGTTTTAGGTAAAGATAATGTAAAGTGTCACATGAAGGTATGACTGGTGTGTCATCATTTTGTCTGTCTGGTATGTAGGTTAAACACACATTGGTCTTATGTACTGTACTGTATGTACGAATCAAAATTGGTATAACACGCCGTTGCTCATTGGGTAACAATGTGAACAGCTCTGTTTTGAGTGAACTGGATCTTATGAAGATTGAAAGCACCTTTTGAAGCACTAAACCAGATTGCTAGACACTTATCGAGGTGGAATGAAAATGACATTACTATTATAATTGTAATCTCTTTTATAAAGTTAGTGGTCTTCCAATGACAAAGATGCCTGCCGCTGTTTCTTTCTGTCACTAAATATAAAATGGTCCCTTTTTTCTGCAGCGCCATTGACATAAAGGAGCTCAAGATTTTAGACATCACAATTGGCAATGCTAAAAACAGCTCTTCTGCATCTACAAAAGTAAGCAGTGCTCCAGTCGCAGTCTCAAAGGGCGACCCCAGGTCTGCGGCCAATCTCAACTCTCCTCAGGACTGCTCCAAAAGCCAAGGAGAACGTCACGTGGACATACCTGGCCAGCCAAAAGGATTTCGTCGAAGACACAACTCCTGTAAGTCCCGGAACTTAAACTTTTGAGCTTTCATTTGACGTTAAGAACACACACACCGTTGCAGTCCTATCGTTGATTGTTGCTCTGTTGAGATGATTGTCATTTTCCCATCAGGGTCATCTAGCAGTAAAGGGGCAAACCAAGCAACACCGAAAAAGAATGGTGTGAAGAACGGCCAGATGAAGCCCAGAGACGACGAGTGTTTTGGGGAGGCCACCGACGACGCGGTGGATGCTGATTTTGATTTTGAAGGAAACTTGGCTCTTTTTGACAAAGCAGCAGTTTTCTCAGAAATCGACATTTCGGAGCGCCGTAACGGTGCAAGATCACGTGGGACGCCTCTAGACCAAACGCCCACACGGTACCGCCATGATGAAAACATCCTGGAGGCCAAACCGGTTGTGTACAGACAGATTACTGTGCCGCAGCCTGGGGCCAAAGAGTACTGCACTGGTAAGTTGTTTCTCATTGTAAAGAAATAAAGGTACTGAGGGCAAATATCTAAAGTAGACTGTTATATATATATTTTTTACCTTTTTTAAATATTTCTTTCCATCAATACAGACTCTGGGCTTGTTGTACCCAGTATATCCTATGAACTACATCAGCGTCTGTTGTCAATCGCTGAGCGCCACGGTCTCTCACTGGAGCGAAGACTTGAGATGACCGGAGTGTGTGCGACTCAGATGGCGCTCACGTTGCTGGGAGGACCCAACAGGTGAGCATGTATGGTTTGTTAGCACAGATGAGAACAGCTTTAGTTAAACAATTATAGCTAGGTCTTACTATTTTTGTTTCGCCTTCTGAGCTAGTATCTTGCAAAAAGAAATCGGCCAAGAATAACATATCGAGCCAGTATAGTGTTCAAGTTCCATAGAAATTAATTGTTAACATTTTATATTTTCAAAGCCAAACATAAGTTTAATGCTATCCAGTGCTTGGAGAGTGCAAACTTCAGGCAATTCAACTTAGTCTCTTTTCCTTGTTTCCTCTAGATTCACTCCAAAGAACTTACACCAGCGTCCCACAGTGGCTCTGATGTGTGGCCCTCATGTTCAGGGAGCCCAGGGCATCAGCTGTGGTCGTCACCTGGCCAATCATGAAGTGGAGGTCGTCATGTTTCTGCCCAATTTTGTCAAGATGCTCGACTGCGTCACCAGCGAGGTCACCCTCTTCAACAAGACCAGTGGCAAACAGGTGTCAAGTATCAAAGGTATGCATTTTTTTCTACTTATGGTTAGATTCTTTCATCTCAGCTAAGCCTAACTGGGGGGAGATTTTTGGCTGTGTGCATATTGAATATATTCATAATGTCTATTTGTGCTCTTATACGACTGTATGGTTAATGATTTCTCGTGCTGTCAAGATGCATATTTTTTTTTTATCATAACTTTATGAAGCAAGGAGGGACAATTAAGTGAGATACAAGATACATTGTTTGGGAAAGGAGAGGGAGTCCAACTTGGTAGAGATCTGCACTCGGACTACATTTTGCATTCTAAGTGGTCAGATATTCAAATGTTGCTCTTTGATCTTTCAGACCTCCCAGACACGCCGGTGGACTTAATCATAAACTGCCTTGACTGCCACGAGAACACATTCCTGATGGACCAGCCTTGGTACCGGGCGGCTGCAGACTGGGCAAACCAGAACCGAGCGCCCGTGCTCAGCTTAGACCCTCCTGGTAGTGGACAGGGTCATGCGGTGGAGGCCAAGTGGTCCCTCTCTCTCTGTCTCCCCTTCTCCCTTGCCGAGGGGGCCGGCAGAGTTTACCTGTGTGACATAGGTATTCCTCGACAGGTGTTCAAGGAAGTGGGAATCAAGTACATTTGTCCCTTTGGCTGCAAATTCGTCATCCCTTTGCACTCTGCGTAATGGGACTAATAGTCAACATGAATCTTTCACCCTCCATGACCATTGGGGTTTTGGCGCCTTATGTTCCAGAGTTCATCCATTACGTTAGTAACTCATCGACATGAGAAAGGGACCACTGTTTGGTCAATTAGTTCTAGGAGGACCAAGTCCATGTGGGTGGGATAGGAAAGAGCTTTATTGAAAAAGTAAATGTGTTGACCATCCGAGGCTTCAGCCATAATACAGATACTATTGTATTTACATAATTTCACATGATACTTTTTAGACACATCTGAAGTGTCAAAATGATATTACATAATGTTCAGATTGAGAATCTCTGATTTAAAAGGGACATATTTCTGGATGTCACTGCAATCTAAACTCATTCTTGAGCCTATCTGGTGAATAAACACCATTCAAACATATATTTTGTTTAAATGTGATGATATTACATTACCACAGAAAACCAACATAGATGGTGTCACCATTGCTAATGGCCTTACAGCCTGCCATACTCTGCAGAACTTTATTACTCTTACTTCCCATTTAAGCAAATGTGGAAAATTGTCATTAATGCGAGTAGTTTTCTATTTTCTTAACCAGTGTTGAATGGAGCAGCTGATAGAGAGAATCCAGATATCAGCAGTTGTGTTTGTTAAGCTAAAGAAGGCCTTCATATGGGCTCTGATAAGATGTAATTTAAAACCTCTTATAGGCAAAGAGATTTGCTTACAGAAATGTGTTACTGAAGTCATGATGTTCCACTAGCTTCTGTGCAATCTCTCCTCTCAGTTAAGCCATTGTGTCATCCACTATAGTAGTTATGAGAAATATCAACCTTAAATTGAATACGGATTAGTTTTTTAGCATAAAATAAGTACAAGCTGGGAACCTTTGTCATTGTGCCTTGGTTTTCATCCCTATCCGTTCGCTTTGGCTCTTTAGTGTATGTTAAAGGACCACAGCAGAGTGTTTACACGTTTTAGTTCCTTAACTACCAATCATTTATGTAATCTGATTTTTGTTAAATGCAGAACACAGATTACAGATTTTTAGGAATTCATCAGAGCCATCATAAAGTCTGGTAGTTAAATTGTTTTTTCGTAATGTAGTTGATTTAAAAAAAAAAGTCTCTATGCATTCTAGACATAGTCTGTTAAGGACTAAAATGTCAAGAATGTCCAAGTAGATTTTCACGTTTTATGAAAACAAATTAAAGCCAGACGAAATGGTCTGGTTGGTTTCGACCTCCAGGCAGGTGAGAATGTCGACAGGTTTTTTCGGTTGACAACAAGCTGTGTTTTCTTAAGTAAAAAGGCTCTTTATATTTCAGATATGAATGCATTTCCAGGTGAATCATCTGTGATGAGAAATGTAACCGTTTGTTTTTTAAATTCCCTCTCCTGGTATTGTGAAGTATGCCTGTTGTGTGTACTCCACCATTAGTGGTATTTACCATGAGAGCTGCTTGTTTTGTGCTGCTTTACGAGGCCTTGACAGAGGGGGTTGTAGGCATTTCTACTGCCAAAAAATGTGACCATGAAAGTCAAACCCTTAGCTTGTTCTTTTACAAAATCACATTCTTTTTAAATGTGTCCAGAGACAAAGACCGTTGTATTAGGTACTGGACATGGACATTGTATACAACATGTCCCTAAATTGTGTATCATTGCGGTCAGTTTAGTCTATACCTAGCTGCACTAAAGCAGTTACAGAAATTATAAAGGAAATCAACTGGGAAAAGGTTTACAGTGGTTTTGTATCCACAAAATAACATCTCAGGAGGATTACAAATACTTCCACGATATTTTAGTTTTTTCTCTGTGCACATTATCCTGCACAGGGTTCATACACTGATTCTGTGAAAATGACTTCTCATGCACAAAGGGTTTGTCCTTTCTCCAACATTCCTCCGGCCTGATGTGTTATGTCACATCTGTTGAGACAAGTCTGGCTGGGAAGCATCAGCCAGCACTACTGATTGTGAAGAGCTGTTTCCTCTTTGGCCGCCAGGGGGCCATTAAACCACACTTTTGGTGTCTCTTCCTTAATCCTTTGTAATGGCAGCTTAATATACCTTGTTCCCCGAAAATATGGGTATTTCTCTACGAAATGTGAACAGTCATAAACCATGTGGTGATCTGGCTTTGGCCGGAAAGCATTTTTGAAAGTGTATTTGTTTAAATGCAGGCTCTGCTTCTTTATATGCATTACATTAGTTTACATGTTTCACATTCTCACATCTTCGCTGGGTGTTTAGTACATGCAATGTTAGTTTGCAGTTCAGGAATAAAATGCGTTTTTTACAGCCAGTGGGAGGTTTTGTCTACAGTACAACAGTTTCCTTTTTGGTGCGAAGTTCAGTATCAAGGTTCAAGTGCAAAAGTACTGTGCAGTCCTCTTGTGTCATGTCTGCAGATTGAAATAATAAAAACTTTCAACATTGCTTTATATGTGAGAGTACATTTTGTCCACATTAATGATCTAACACCTTCACCAAATCGCCTGAAATGAATTTAATGATACATTTTTAGCCGTACTAGTTTCTCACTAACGCGCATGTGCACTGCAAAAACAAGGTGGGGCAAAGAAAACTTGAATGTGTGTGACTGCGAAAAGGAGTGGGCTGAAGTACACTCATATTAATCTGAAAGCAATCGTTTAATGGCTGCATTATTTAACAAGTTGGGTTATCGCGTTTTCTCCTCACTCATTTTGACTTTTTCCACAAAATCACCGTCGAGACTGCAGTGAGAAGTTCGTAGCAAAGTTGTTTTTTCTTCATATAAAGGGGCTTTTTCAGGTGATGTTGACAGGAGACGCACCAACTAAAGTCTCGGCTTGTTTTATCGAGATACTTTTGGACTGCTGAAGGTTTCGTGTCACCTGGGACAGATTTCACTTCCTCATCGGGGCTTTGGTTTGTTTTTTCGCCTCGATATCAACTGTCGGTATTTTTTTGGGGTGAATGGGAATTTGTGTGCTGTCGCTCAGATGAAAAGGCTCTTCGGACAGTAAACAAGTCACCTGTTATTACCCGAAACGTCTCGGTTTTTGCCTGAAAAAAAGGTAAGAGTTCTATTTTGAAATTGAGCCTTTGCTTGCAGATACAGTGAAGTTGCTGTGTTGTGGTTGAAGTAGGCTACTTAACAACCCTTAAGTTAATTTTACTTCCTTGTATATAATGAGTACATGATAACTAAATGTGTCATATCCTGCCAATGTGGGGTGCAGCAGTTGCATCACGCAGCCCTCTAAATGTCTCTGTTCCAACATGGTAGATAATAGTATTGATAATAGGCAATGTATCCTGCTGACTCAAAACTGTCACATAGCCTGTCATCTTTTAACGTTTATTTGTGTCTTATATTGTAAAACATAATGCAGAAGTAGAGGGTTAATAATGTATTTCAGTTTGCTATTGCTTTTTGTCACTTATCTCTCATTCTAATGAAACAATTTACCAACCAGAACCAGCATTTGTGAGAGAGAGGAACTGAGGAGCCATTAGGTGTGTTTCAGGGTGATGCCCCTTTTGCAAGTTTCTGAAAAAGACTGAAGCTAGTCTGCTGATGGCTAGCATTGTCTTTATAATATGGCAGAAGATGGAGGGTGACACATCTGAAAGAAGCAAGAAGCTTGTGAAACAGGCTCTTGAAACCACAGCAAAGCATGTGTTGCATGCACGGCTGCATCAGCAGGGCATGTTGAGCACAGCTCTCAGCCAGGAAGTATCCGTCTGCTGCTCAGGCATTCAAGCGTTGCCTTACATGGTGTTTTTGACGTGTAGACTAGTTTTAAATCATCAATTACCCACACATGTTCGAACTTTGGATAGACGTAAAATGCAAAGTTTGTTGTAATGCCTGGGTGCCAAATTGAGGGGGGGGGGGTTTCCCCCTGCCACTCTGACGACAGTTTAGCTTTTCAATGTGACGTTTTGTATTTTATTATGATAAGCAAGGTGCTGTTTTACATGTATACCCTGTCAATGGCTTTTATGCCGCCTTATATCAGCCTCAGAGGCAATACTGACAGTCATTAAAGTGACACAATGAAGGCTTGTGCAGCAGGGCCTGCCACTGGATTCGTACTTCCTGTCTTACTTCCTGCAGACAGTTGATACAGTGAGCTCCACAGTCAAGCTGCTGTCCCGGAGGCAGAGGTGATTTCCTCCTCTGAGCTTTCTGAAAAACATCTGCAGGCTCTCAGACTCGCATGGCTGAACGTTGGCAGGAACTCTTTCTGTTTCGGTACCATTGTGTCCTTCTCGGTGCACTTGGCCCTGCCACCCTGCTGCTGTAATGGTGATGATAACAGGGCAGCAGCATCAAAGCAGTCAAAAGAGCCTCCCGAGGCAGGAGGGTCAGGATCATACATGTATGAGAGGCAGATTACCCAGGACCCCCTGCTGCACATAGAGATGCAGGAGCACACAGTCAATAACACAGACATACTGCTCATTTTAAAAGTATTGCTTCAAATCACACTTAAAGCACAGAGATTTTATCAACAAAACACACCAAGAGTACTCCTTACATCATTACATGGCCGCTGTGTCTGTTTTATTGCATACTATATTATTAGATTGTTAATATTGGTGTATCGATATGTAGGCAGCATTTTACTTTTGTAGCTGATCAAGTCGTTTTACATTTGAGATACTTTATATAATTGTCAGGTGTCCAGAGGATCCCATCCAGCCTCTGAATTAATCGTTAACAAGGCATTTGATTTGATTTGTTTATATACAGTAGCTATGTTTCTATTCAATGGTAAATGTTAATTGTAATTATGAGTAAATCTAGCTGTCAGAAAAATGCTGTGGAGTGAAAGGTAGAATATTTCCCTCTGAAAGGTATAGTGGAGCTTAAGTACCCTCAAATAGAAATACTCAAGTGAAGTACACGTCCCTACAAAAATCTACTTACAGTAATGGAGTAAATGTACTTTGAAGAAACATTTCAAAGACCAGTGAATAACGTTGTTTTTCAGTGACAAATGTCCACATAGACGTCACTGTATCACAGCAGTTTTTCTACACCTTACATGATCAACATTTTCACGTCTGCAGATAGTCCAGGGAGTGGCAGATTTAAACAAGACCAAAGAACATATTTTTACATTCCTGTCCTGTCTTGCTTGGTTCAGTCAGGCTAACTCTCATCTGTAAAGTTCAGACTGCGACTGGCTTGCAAAAGACAAGAGCCAAATGTTGATCAACCAGTTTGGTTTGAACAATTAGATTGTTATGGATGTCAAGAATATGCAAAATGGGACTATTGTATCTACAGTAGCTCTCTATCTACAGGTATGGCACCTGTATTTGAGTTACTTGTTACATTTGGAGTGTTTTTGTGCTCTCTGAGCTTCTTTCTGACTCATTTCATGTTAAGTCTGCCACTGGGTTTGCTGATTTCCTGTTGTTCTCAGTAGCTTATGCCATGAGTCGTTTCTTCTGTAACACACAATTTCCACAGTCTGATATATAAATTCACTGCTTAAAACATATCATTGTATTTATGTGTGCCTGTTTGAGATCATTTACTTCATAATACCAGAGCAGCTGACACTTGAACTCGCTGCATAAAATATGAAGTGCAACTGATAACTACTGAACTGAAGCTTTACTGAACCTAAAGCCAGTTACTGGGCTGACTGATTTATGATGATAAACTCCTCAATGAGACAGAGGTCAGTAGAAGCTCAGGGGTCAGTAGAAACTCACAATGATAGCCTTGTCCCCTTACTGAATCGAACAAGCTGTGGTTCCATGTGGAGCTCTCTGGAAATGGCAATGTGACACCATGACAGACCGAGTTCTGTCCCTTTCAGTCAACCGCTGCTGGCCTGCTGTTGCGATGAGTGGACTGTCCCAAAAGACAGGAATTAAAGAAATGCGTGGCCCCACTCATCTATTCCTCAGTCGGTGAGATCACTTTGCTTCTTCAATGAGGACAGACAGATTCTGTTGCAATCAACAAATTCTGTTTTAGAGCATAGTGAGCATTTGTACTCTACGTAGATTTTATTAAGATTGTATTTGTAACCAAACTAGTAGCATTGCTCTTGGGATGGCGTTGTTGGTCAGTCCTCTTTGGTCAAGGCTGTAATATCTCAACAACTATTAGATGGATTGACTTCAAATGTAATGCCTTGAGAACTGTTGGATAGATCACAATGACATTTAGTCCAAGCACGAATAGTTTTTGTTCCACTTTCGTGATCCACTGCCTTATTTTTGGTGCTATTTATAACATGTGTTCCAATCTTTCATTTTCACGTAAAACAGACAGCCCTTTAAAAAAACATTCACTAAAACAACACAAATTGTATTAATAAAATATACTTCAATCTATAAAAGCAAGGCTATGCAGCTAAAATGAGTTCCTTATGCGTAGACTTTTAAACCGTTAATAGGGGTCATCTGGAGGGATTTGGGTTAGGATTCTTTACAATGAGAATAATGCTCTACTAGTTTCAGACTTATAGTTTGTGTGTTTCCTGTTAGAACATTCCCCCCCGAGTGAAATGTCAAAGTGTCACATAGAAAAGATGCGTTTGGGACGAGCAGATGCAAAGTGGGGGTGTCCTTGCTTGGTTGCTGGGCCTGGGAAATATGTCCAGATAGACAGCTGTGGGTCTCCATGGGGGACAACATCCGCGTCATCCTCATCATACTGGGTGATGACAGTCCTCTCTGGGAGACATGGAAGTTTTAAGTCTCACATTTAGTGTCTTTGAAGAGGCTGGACCTTTATTTAAATGTATGACATAGAAGAAATGCCAGTTTATGTATTCAATGTAAGAAATATGCTTTTAAAAGGAAGAGCTTAAAGAGAACCCCACCCAAATACTGGTGTTTTCTAAATTTGGGCTCTCTCACAGGAAGCTCATTGCACAGTAATGGAGACGTCGGAGGATGTGACCTCATGTAAAGTGACAGATCTATCAGCCAGGATTTTCCCTTAGCACTGACCATTAATTCCCCCCCCCACTTCTCCATGGGAACTGATACAGGAAGAGAGGAAGTGGTGTTTTTCGGCGGAAGGATTGAGAGAGGGGATGTTAAGCATGACTTAATCCAGAGGTCATCATTTCGTTATACCGGCTCTGATGTGTTGTGCATGTATCATGGAAACGCGGCCCCTGGGTGACTCAGGTCTAAGGTTAGAGTTGCAGTGGCTGCTTTATTGACGCAAAGAAACGCTGGGCTGGATGAGTCCCACTGGCCTGGTTAGACCACAAGTTTGCATTCCTCCGCTGAACAGAACTATCTTAACTCCTACAACGGCCAGTCATTGGTGCTTGGCTGGAGAGCGGAGTGTCCATTTTTGGTCAAAATGAACCGAGCACCATATGGAGTACATACTACATAATAGATTACGTTTACCGCCTTTTCTTAATAGGCTAGAATATTTTCAGAAATCTTCTATAGAGTATATTTCTATGTTCGCTGAAGCCTTGTCTTTAGGTACAAACTGTACTGTTATTCTGCATCATGGAAACATTCTGCCCCAGTTGTGAAAGTGTGATTTCAAAAAAAGAAGACTTGTAAGTTCTGCTTTCTGAACCAGTGAGTTATTTTTACTCACACGGTCTGATCTGACGCTATTCTAGTGCATTCTGATAATAGCTGAATTGTTGACTATTGAACAAATTATACATGACATTACAAATATACACCGCGTTCATGTCACTCAAGGTCACCTTACATCACACCTGTAGCCAGAGGTGGGAGAAGTACTCAGATCTCGTACTTGAGTAAAAGTAGAAGTACCAGAGTTTTGGAATACTCTGTTAGAAGTAAAAGTCCTTCATTCAAAATGTTACTCAAGTAAAAGTAGAAAAGTATTAGCATCAAAATATACTTAAAGTACTTATTATCCAAATTGGTCCATTTCAGAATAATGTAATATATATATATATATTTTCCATTTAATTATTGATGCATTAAAGTGTTATCAAAGCTGGTAAAGGTGCAGCGAGTTTTAATGACTTAGTATGCTCCAAGGTAGCTTTTTAATTTACTCCAGGTGTAACTAAAGTCTTATTTAAGTGTTGATTATATTTCACATAATTAATCCAAATATAAGTAACTAAAGCTATAAAATAAATGTAGTGAAGTGACAGTACACACAATTTACCTCTGAATTGTAGTGGAAGAGAAGTACAAAGTAGCATAAAATGGAAAATGTTGAGTAAAGAACAAGTGTCCTAAAATTGTACCTAATTAAAGTACTTGAGTAAATGTACTTAGTTACTTCCCACCTCTGCCTGTTCGAACACAAAACGTACGCATTAGCAAAAGAAGCACCAGTACGTGAACATCAATGGAATCCTCATAATGAGATATACAATGGGCAAGTGAAAATAACTCAGATTCAAGATCGGTGTAAACTGCTGTTAAAGTAAGTAAGATGGGTTCAAATGATGGTTTTGAAGAGCGGTTTTGAATTTTGTAATGGGTTCCAGTTTACGATGTGAGGGGAAAGTGTATTTCTCATACTATTAATATGCACTTACACACCAATAAAACACACATGAATTGTCTTGCTGATACTTTGTGTGTAGATATAGTAAGGCTGGCATACTGACTTCATTCTGTTTCTTTTTGTAGGTACTGCATGTTTGTGTGTGTTACCAGCTCTAATGTTAGCAGCTAGAAAACATCATCCCCTGTGAGAGGATTGAACCGCCTCACCATGACGGAGGTGCAGGTAAGACAGGCCTCCAGAGAGGGTGCAAGTCAAAACGTAGATACACAACAAGACATGTCTGATGAGAAATGTGTGTGACATTTGTTTACTAATTAGTGATGTGCCCATTTCCCGTAGACTCCATGGCCGCAGGGCACAGAGTGTGTTGCCAGGTACAATTTTAAAGGCACATCAGAACAGGACCTGCCCTTCAACAAAGGAGACGTGTTGAGTATTATTATCGTCACCAAGGTAAAGTTACAGTGCCTATAACTTTTAGTTTTTTAAAAATGCAATATTTAATCCACACCACTATTTTAATTATTCATTTCTGAAATTTTGTTTTTCAGGATCCAAACTGGTACAAAGCTAAAAATGTTGCCGGTCGCGAGGGAACGATTCCTGCCAATTATGTTACGAAAAGAGAAGGTGTGAAATCAGGAGGGAAGCTGAGTTTGATGCCGTGAGTACACAGATTATCATGTTTGACTTCTGATGTTCAATATTATCTTTCACTCTGAATAGCAAACATGATTAGACTTATGTGTGTTCTCTATATTTCAAAAGTTGCCACCACACTAGCTCTGGTTTGCTTCTGCAGCGATGGCTAAAATAGCTCGACGTTGCCCTCGCTCTGTGGCTGTGTGGTTGCTGTAGGCAGATGGGCTATTTGTCGTGGCAGTGGCGCTGCAGTTATGTGAATGGCGACCACAGATGGGTCGGGCTGTTGTGTAATTGCAGTGCACTTGTGTCTGTTTCCAGCTCAGCCCTGCGTAGCTTCCTGTTGTTTCTCGTCTATCTCAGACTGAAGTTATCTAAAAAATCTCTCTGTTTGTCCACATGATTGAATTTTGTGTGCATGCATGCAAGCATGTGAATGAATAAAAGTTTTTTTTTTAGAGCTCTTAATCACAAAATAATGTCTAGAAGGACTTAATAAGGGCAAACCAAGCTACAAAACAACAACCCTTGCCTTAAACACACCCACAAAAAGGCACTTTAAAACATAACATGGCAAAATACAGCCATCAAAAAGGAATAACTGCTACCCTAAACTTTATCTAATTAAAACCTCACTTTAAAGATGTATAATGTCCTACAGAACTGTGTTTCTGAGCATCCATTCTGCTTGTACAGCAACACCTTTTTACAGTTGGAGTATCAAAGGACTGCAGCTGATGTTATCATAGGAAATGCAGCTCTTACTGAATTATTGTAAATATAACCTGACATGAATAGTAAAAAGGGATGTCGACCTTTTGAGTGAAAGCTGTATCATGTTTGTGAATATGAAATCCCTAACTAAAGGGAAAATCCCTGTTGTCGTACCTCAGAGGGAAGCTGCTTCTGTTCCTGTCAGAAGAAAGGTTTTCTGTGTGATAGTGGAATGTAACTTTCTCATGGAGACATGTAAATGAGTTTACTGTACATACTGTGGCTCTTTCATATGCAAATGAGTGTCATCTATACCTTTTATCTCCAGAACAGTATTGGTTTTATTTGCATTAAGCCCCCATTTACAGTAATACAATATTATAAAGTGCAAAAAAACTGTAAAAAAAAAAAAGATGGCGGGACATAACAGAACATTAAGAAGTTCATAATTTCATTGAGGGACAGTTGTTTTGTGTGCCTGCACCTGTAATATGTTTTTAAATGACTGATGCAAACAGTAGGAAGTTAGCTGAAACAATTCAAATAGATTTAAATCATTTAGTTTCTAGAATGCATACATTATCCTCATTTTAAAGATTGTTGTGATTAGATTAGTTTTGGTGACATTGTTGTAGTGGCCTCTATTCATTTGCTGCTTCTCTGCGTCTTGACTCCCAGATGGTTTCATGGGAAGATAACTCGGGAACAGGCAGAGCAGTTGCTTGTCCCTCATGAAACCGGCCTGTTCTTGGTGCGAGAGAGCACCAACTTCCCCGGCGACTATACCCTGTGTGTGAGCTGCGAAAGCAAGGTGGAGCACTATCGCATCGTCTACTCCAACGGCAAGCTCACCATCGATGACGAGGGGTACTTTGAAAACCTCATGCAGCTGGTTGAGGTAAGACATTAGATCTCTGTTTAGTCTTTATTCATAAAACGGGATGTTTCGAGTGCTCGCCCTTGTGCTATATAGATCTCTGTCTACTGTATGTTTGTTGTGTTTTCCTGTTATGAGCCCCCGCGTCTCTGTGCTACCTCATAGACCACATACAGTTCCTGGAACAAATAATGAACAGGAAGTGTCAAAGAGGAAGAGTGAACAAGCTGAGGTGCAAAGTTCTAACCTCAAAAAGACGCGGGGCCTTTTACTCTCAAAACGAGTCCCTTTCCTTTTTAACATGCTTATTTTTAACTGAAGCCTTCGAAATAGTCATGAGTATTTTTAGTCCGACCTATTTAAGGGGAAACCTTTTTCCGTTGTCCATTATATATTTAGCTAATTTGACTTTACAGCCCTCTATTGGTCATTCTGAAGCACTGCTGAGTTTAAATGCCTGAGAACTTTAATGCTGGTTGATGCTCTGTTATCGAAAGGTGGTACAGTTATATGCCTAAATAAAAGTCAAAACCGCAGATACAATATTATGAATCAAGAACAAACAGTTCAACAAGTCATTTTTATTTAAAGTGAGACTTCATTATTCAAATTGATATGGACCTCTTCCAGAAAACGCAGTACATTTACAATAATCCAGCAACATTTTCATTCTTTAAAGGCAAAAGGATTTTGTCCAGGTGGAGTATCACCTGATAAATAATTGAGCTAATGATGTACCAAAGGTTGTTCTGTTTTCTAGAAACAATAAGGCTATATGCAATAAGCAACTTTTGGAGACCCCTTAAAGTGCTGTAATGCTAGTGTGTCCATTTCTCTTCATCCTTTGTTTGTTTTTGCTCTGTATGTAGCACTACACCAAAGATGCTGATGGTCTGTGCACCAAACTAATAAAGCCAAAGCTGGAGGAAGGCACGGTGGCCGCTCAGGAAGAGTTCTCCAGGGGTGAGTCTCCGTTTGTTGGTCAATTACAATTTATGCATCCACATTATTTACGAGGAGCATGTATGGGCCTGTTATGTTTCAGCTTCATGTTGTTTCCTCTTTAAATGGCCAACAGGTGGCTGGTCGATGAGCAGAAAAGACCTCAAGCTGCAGCAGGTTATTGGAAAAGGAGAATTTGGAGGCAAGTTGCTTCAAGTTTACTTTGAATAGTAGAAAAGTGACCTAATTGTATTGTACTGCTTACATATGGCAAAGTTCTGATATGTATACTGAGCATGTAGACAGGAGTAGACTGACTTTACAAACACAAACAGTATACTATGAACAGGTATAGGTACAAATTCAGCATTACATCTTGTGTATAGAATTTGTATAAAGGTTTTGATAAAAGTCGAGTAAAACCTTGGACATGCAAACTTTGTTATGTAAACTAAATATCAGGTAGAAAACCTTTAACAATGAAACACATTCCCTCACCTCTCATGGTTTAAGAGAAGGCTTTGGTTTTTCATATTTGTTTGTTTTGTATATCAAAGGGATGACACTTTAAAATGTGAGTTAACCATTGATTTTCTATTGTTTGTATTCACCTCAGATGTCATGGTGGGAGACTACAGAGGGACTAAAGTAGCTGTGAAGTGCATAAAGAACGATGCTACAGCACAGGCCTTTATTGAAGAGGCTTCTGTCATGACGTAAGAAAGATTAGATATTTTGCCACTCTGGTTTTAGAAACACAAATGCACAAGTAACATGTAAACAAATAACATGTCTGTGTGCTCTTCTCCTCTCTCAGGCAACTACGGCATGATAACCTAGTGGGGCTGCTTGGAGTGATCGTCGAGGAGAACGGGAGTCTGTTTATAGTTACTGAGTACATGGCCAAAGTGAGTGGCAGACTGTCTCTCTGAAAACGTGTCAACCTCCAGAGTGACATAAAAAATATATAACATTTCTGTTTTTGTTTTTTCAGGGCTGTTTGGTTGACTACTTGCGTTCCAGAGGCCGGACAGTACTTGATGGAGAAGCTCTCCTTAATTTTGTTCTGTGCGTATGACTAACACTTTATCTACAATTACACTATATTAAAGTCAGGGAAGCTTGTTTTTGATGGGCTGCATAATGTTGGAGATATGATTAGGGTAAATACATTGTAAGCAAGGCTCACTAGATTTAAACTAAACCATGTTGAACTGCAAGAACATTCTACTGTGTACACTTTAGGATTGCCCATGTTTTATTGGATCATCAGGAAGTGTATACTGCATGTTTTTGATCCCACATTTGAATGTGGAAAGACAACAGTTCTGAGGTTTTGAACTTTGTTTTGCTGTGCTTTCACAGAGACGTCTGTGAAGCCATGGCTTACCTGGAAAACAACAACTTTGTCCACCGAGATTTAGCAGCCCGCAACGTTCTTGTGTCAGAAGACAACATGGCCAAAGTCAGTGACTTTGGTCTGACCAAAGAGGCCTCCTCCACTCAGGACACTGCCAAGCTGCCGGTGAAGTGGACCGCCCCGGAGGCTCTCAGGGAAAAGGTATGCTGTTGTTTTCATGGACTGTTGTTGGTGCTTTGCCTTGTGTAGCTCCCAAGATGTGAAATAAACTCTACGTGTGTTTTTTTTCCTAATCAATAGAAATTCTCCACCAAATCGGATGTTTGGAGCTACGGTATTCTGCTTTGGGAGATTTACTCTTTCGGCCGAGTGCCTTACCCAAGAATTGTAAGTACCAATATCTTTTCGGGAAGAGGCATAAAGAAAATATTAAGGAAAAATAAGGGTTTTGATTTAAGAGTAAAACTATCAGAAACAGCCTGGACTCTTTCCTTTTGCTGTAATACCTGAGAGTATCATACTAAAGTGTACAATTATGATGTGGTATTGCAACCTTTCTACATAATATAACACTACTTATAATGTATGTACCAAAAATGCATTCATTAGATAAAAAAGAGACAATCAACCACATTGCTCTTTAATGAAAATATATAAAACTAGAACTGTATATGCAGTGAGTTTGAATGTGTTGACTGTATTTTAACGAGTTACATAGTTTGCCTCAAATCGTCCTTAAGCTGTTTTCTGTCAACACTGTCTTTCTCACAACTCCTTATTCCATTCTGTAGCCGTTAAAAGACGTCGTGCCTCGAGTGGAGAAGGGATACAAAATGGACTGTCCAGATGGCTGTCCTGAAGTGGTGTATAACATCATGAAACAGTGCTGGAACCTGGACCCTGCTGCTCGACCAAGCTTTCAGATGTTGAAGGAGTGGCTACAACATATCAACCAAGGGAAAGGGAAAAAACCTTAACACATCTGACAGAACGGATACAAAAAGTGACTTTCCTCTCCCTTCATTTCGACCACTTGGACCACAACCTAGGAGGAAGAAATATTTTGAAGACAATGTTAGATTTGTCCGTGAACCGATATAACTGTCAACGTTTATGTTCCTTAGCAGCATCCATGTCTCAGGGTGTTCATATTGCAGTTACTCTTAATATCTGATTCGGTTGCTCTTTCTGCGCTAGGTTTTCAAGAGTGAATGATTAACTGTCATATCAACGAGTCTTTCTTTAATACACAGTGCCTTGACTTGTTTTGTGTATTTTATGACCTTTATGTTGATAGCCTTGGTCGTATTGGGGACTGCATTATTTTGTATGAACATTTACTGTGGACCGTGACATAATTTGACTAAGTTGACTGAATCCATTGTATCGGTTTAAAGAGGAGAGACATGTCAAAAGTAGAAAGATGGTTTTGATACATCATTACACACTCTATTCTTTTTTTTTTTTTACAGTTTCATGGTACACCTTACTGCATGATCGTATAATTATTTTTTTAAGAGGACTAAGTTAAAATAACTTTAATTATGCAGCTTTACATTTTTTATTGTCTATTTCAAATGCCCTATAAAAGGAAGTGTGGACAAATGTAAACTTGACTACTGATATAGAACACCATTCAGCTGATTCATGTAGAAACCATTCCCATGTACAGAATTGTCCATCCAACATCATGAAATGTTTCTATTTTTCTGATTCTTCAGATTGAACCAAATATTCTGGATTTTGTATGTAAAGAGAAAAAAGAATGTTAATAAATTACATATTGAAAAAACGTTTTTATTTTCCTTTTTTTCAAAGTCAAGTATTAGCTATTTAATATGGAATTATTCATTTACACTTTTAAACCAATCAAAATCAAATCAATCAAAATCAAATACAAATGGTACCTAAACAATTTGGAGATATTTATATGTTACTAAGTATTTCTATTCTTTGCTGCTTTCTACTTCCACCATTAACCTTCTCTCAACTTTTATAATATGTTGCATTTAAAAAACCTGGATAACAAGATAATAACAGCCATTAGATTAATAAAGTACAGTATTAAAAAAAGAGTACAAATGTATGTACTTGTTTTATAATATTTTATATTATATCAAGACCAGGCTCAAAAACCAGAGGGGACCAAGCAGCTAGGCCCCAGGCTCTGGAACAGTCTGCCCCTCCATGTGAGGTCGGCCCAGACCCTTGGGGTTTTTAAATCCTCACTGAAGACTCACTTCTTCTCTCAGGCCTTCTAGTCAGAGTATAACTCCTGACATTTCCCTGTGTTTTGTTTTTATATTTGCTGTTGTAAATTATTGTCTTTTGATATTATTGTAGTAAAGTGTTTTTATTACATGTCATGTACACCACTTTGGCCGACCAAAAATCATTTTTAAATGTGCTCTATAAATAAAACCTGATTTGATTTGATATATTCTAATAAAAGTTATTCCTTTAAGCCATTGCAGTTTAAGTTAACAGTGCTATCAAGAGGTTCCGTTTCTTATTAACAGAGGCTGTGATAGTGGTTATGTAATTTTCCCTTTCTTCAAACGGCAATCAAATAATACATGAACTAATAAGTAAATATAAGTCGTCTCATGGGTTTCAACGATTTAAGAAGCGGAACCTTGAGGAGGAGAATCCCCCTAAAAGATGGGGGCTTATTACTGTGTTACACTTGGTGTCACAGCGAAATACAGACTGAAAACAGTGTCAGCGTTAAGTGACAGCCTCAGCCTGCAGCTCGTCACAGCTCAGGATTACACAGGCTTTGTTTTATTTGTGATGATGGACAATGAGGTCGATGTCTTCTATCGGGAGCTGCCAAAAGTGGTAAGTCGCAAAATAATTGATACATCTTAAGATGAGAAGAAAGTGTGAGGAGTTTAAACACGGTTAAAAGTATGTTTGTGTACATTTATAGTTACCTAGTCCTAGATGCTAACGTCAGCGTTTCAAACCGTCACCAGGAGCTCCATGCTCACCTCAACGGCTCCGTCAGCTGCCCGACCATCGAGAAGCTCATCAGCCGGAAACCGCAGCTCAACATCGGACACGGCATGACGGCCATCGGCAAGGGCCAGCGGAGGACCCTGGATGAGTGCGTATAACTTGATATGAAAGTTTAATAAAGGACCCATTTTGTATCAATTAGAGCTATATTTGATGATGACATCGTCGTTATTTCACAAGTAGAAGTATAACAATGGGTGGGTATTAAGGTCTTACTGTTTTTAGATAAGAATAAAACAAAAACTGTCAATTATTAAAGACGTATTTCACTCCAGGGTGGTAGCAGCACACCCCAATTGAGAGAATATCAGGATAATCTGTTTTTGATTTATTCTTTTCTAAAAACAGAGGGATAATAGCTCATATGAGACTTCAAAGGTATTTTATTTTGAAACTGTACATCAGATTATCTTGATATTCTCTGAGTGAATAGATGGGATGTCCTGCTATCATCCTGGAGTGAAATAAGTATTTGATACTGGAGAGTTTTTGTTTTATTCTTATCTAAAAACAGATGGACGATAGCGATATGAGATTTCAAAAGTATTTTATTTTGAAACTCCTTAAGTTTTACATTCACTCAGTTATAATGTGGTAGTTATACGTAGTTTGTTTTAACTAATTATTGATCACATTATATAGACCATATTTCTTAATTTAAGCTCCAGTATTTATGAATATGTTTGGTATGTTTTTTAGGTATATTTGTTATTGACCGAGTAAGCTTTCTTGACCGCAGTAATAGTAATGTGACAATGGGAAGAGGAGGTTTTTCTTTTTTAAAGGGGTCAAATCTATAAGAAAATTGCGCGCAGGTGTAAATGGCATTTTTATCATAATAATATTATAATGAATTGTAGGCATAGATATGTGTATATATATTGTTTAATTAATCATATTGAAAAATGGAAATGGAATAGTTATACATGAAACATCAACGAATAGAATAGAATACAAAATAATGACCTGCCCATGCAGGAGCATTATCTATGAATGTAGTTTTATGTTGGTTATTGGGCAGACATTCACTTGATGTGTAATTAATTGATCTTGAATAAATATTTAAAAAGAAGATTATTTCAGATTTTGAATAAGCTTCCACATCATGTGTCTTGGATCCCTCCAAATCAATGCCGCATTTTATTACTACAATGCAAAATAGGACACATTGAATTTATTTTAATAGTGATATAACAAGTCAGCAGTTTCCATTTAAAAAAAGTCAGAACACATTTCAATAGCTTCCATGTCATGTAGTCTGAACAAGTACGACATGTCGCTTTTTATTGGATTTTAGTCCACCTTATGTTATGAAAAATTGTATGACTTTCATTTGTATTGCTTCACTGCTGTAAATTATAATAAATCTTTCCATAGAAAAAAACTGTAGTCCTATGCATGATGTTTACAGCCTGTTGACCAAACAAATAGCAAAACGGACAACATTGATCTGCACGAGGAAGATGTCAACTTAAGCATACTTGATGTCTGCAGGTGTTTCCAAGTCTTCAAGGTCATCCATCAGCTGGTGGACACGGAGGAAGACATCCTGATGGTGAGGGCTGACTGTTTGATATAAATGTTTTGCACAGAATGTTACTGACAGCTGTTTCTTTTCTCTCTTCGCAGGTTGCTACAGATGTGATCAAAGAGTTTGCAGCAGATGGTGTCAAATATTTAGAGCTGAGAAGTACACCAAGGGAAGAGAAACACACAGGTGGAGAAGCAGCCTTATATCTGAGAAGTGATTTACTGTCAAGGTTGTTTTATTAAATTATTAGGCTCTCAAATTAGACAGTTTACACAGATATTTTGTATTCCCATGGCACGTCTTTGAAGAAAACATGATTTAAAAAAAATCCAATTTTATTTGTTTCGTGAGTTGATACAAATGTGTAAAATATTTATATTGTATCGTGGCAGACTTTGATTTCTTAAAACATGCCATCATTGTCCACACAATAGAAATAGTGTTGTATTGTGATTTAAATGTGTCGTTTACACCCCTAATGTGTATACATTTACAGTATATGTGTGTCTTTTGGAAACACTTTGGTGCAAAACATAAAACAAACTTGAAGAATTTGAAACAAGTTTAATACCTTTTCCCTATAGGATTGACAAAGAAGAGTTACATTGAAACCGTCATCGAAGCCATTAAACAATGCAAAAGCGAAGGAGTGGACATTGATGTGAGGTAGGCAACAGTTTTATTTGTGTGTGCAAGTCGGGAAATGTTTATTTTTGTGTGTGTGAGAAGTGCCTGTGTTGAACACACTCCCATTACAGTCTGCATAATGTTTTACCATGATGATCTAGGAACGTGAGTGCTGGCCACAGTAGTTGAATGGTTGTAAATGTGTTCATTTGTTCTCAAGGTTTCTGGTGGCGATTGACCGCAGGAATGGAACTGAAGTTGCCATGGAGACGGTGAAGCTTGCTGAGGACTTCATGCTGTCGTCTGATGGTTTGGTGTTGGGACTCGACCTCAGTGGAGATCCAACGGTTAGTACAAATTGAGCATCATCGGAATTTAAAACATTCACTATTTAATTTCTCTGTGTTACCAGTTTCTGCCTTTCACATGTGCTGGCTGTATTTCTCAGACGGATCAAAAAGACAGTTTTACTCCTAATATTACGTACCATTAGAGTTACAATACCCACTAGTTGGGGACCAGTTAGACTAGCGTTTTTTTGCAGGTTATGGAATGTTCAGAAATAGTACTTTTGCTTCTGATACTTGTGCTTTTAAGTGCAAGCTACAAATACGTTTACTTATACATTTATGAAGGTAATGTAAAGACAAAAGCATAAAAAACAATGGTTGATGTTATGTCTTACAGAAAGTGCAGTCTTTCATAATGGTAGCTGTTGAACAATTTGCTCAGGTTTTTTAGTAGTCCACGGTGTTAGCAGTCACTATAGTTTGTGGGAGTATTCCAATGACTGATCCCAACGTGGTTTCTTGTTTATTTTTTGACAGATGCATTGCTATATTAAAATGATGCTATTTGCAAAAATAATAGTTGCAAATGAAAGGGATGGTACAGTAAACAATAATTTCATTAAAAATCAAATATTCAGTGAGATTTAAAAGGAATCCACGAGTCTGACATTTACTCACAACACTTCCTGTTAATGAATGTACTTTTCCCTCTCAGGTTGGCCATGGCAAAGACCTACTTCCTGCTCTACAGAAGGCAAAGAACTGTGGACTGAAGTTGTCCCTGCACCTCTCAGAAGTATGACCACAACATTAAATGTAATCCGTTATCGGTGAGCACATTATCTGTGAGAGATCTGATGTTCCAACATGAACGGTTGCAGGTCCCGTCCCAGCTGGAGGAGTCCGACCTGCTCCTGGATCTTCCTCCGGACAGGATCGGTCACGGCACCTTCCTGCACCCGGCCATGGGGGGATCTCAAGGGCTTGTTGACAAAGTGGTGAAGCACAACATACCTCTGGGTAAGAGTGAGATTCAAAGATTTATTTTCTGAGGCGAGCACCAGTGGATTTGCTTATGGGTTTTTTTTTTTTATCTCAGAGCTCTGCCTGACATCAAACGTCAAAGGACAAACGGTAGCACGTTACTCCGATCATCATTTCAAACACTGGTACCAGATGGGACATCCCAGTGTGATTTGTGTAAGTTTCGCCTCACATACGATACTATGACCAGTTTTTAATTGCATCTTGACATTTTGTGGCATACTTAACTGACGGTTTTATATGTTTAATGACATACTTAACTGTCTTTACAAAGACTTCCAAAGTCAGAATGATGTATTTCAAAACTTAACAAAGATTATTATTTTGTTTGCTAAATTCTAATTCATTAGTCGAGGTATAGAATACCGTATACAGTCTATTTTATGAGACATTATGAATGGAAATTTTTTGGAATATGCTTGCTTCCTAAATTGCTAAGTCATCATTACTTCAACCCTTAATTGGGCAATCACATAAATATTTTGGAAAATAATTGATTGCTTGATTTCTACATAACACCTGATGTACACGTTATAACACCCGTTTAACAGCCAATATAATCACTTATCACACCCAGCTAATATTACACTTATTACATATGGACACTGACTGTCAAATGACACTAAAGTATGCACCATGAAACTGTAACCATGTAAGGGTTAGGGACACCTGATATAGAACCTGAATTGACACCATGTTGACCATGAATGATTTTATTCTTTGTCACATTACAGACGGATGATAAAGGAGTCTTCAGTACGGACTTGTCTCAGGAATATCAGCTGGCAGCTTCCACGTTTGATCTCAGTCGTGAAGCTGTGTGGAAACTTTCCCATGATGCCATAGACTGTATCTTTGCCCCGGACACCGTGAAACAGCAGCTCAAACAGAAGTGGATTGATTTAAAGCCTCATGTGTTCAAGTGATCCATTACAGGGAAACTGACAGCCTTTAATATACCTCAGAAATCATGTTATAGAACGTATTCATTAACATTTTACAATGTAGAAATCATGTCTTCAACTAAAAGGGAAACTCTAAACATACTGTGAAAATGTTTAAAATAACTGAAAGTAAATCCTTCCTATTTAGTACAACGTGTGTAAGTGTGTTATTTGCTGCCGATATACAGGGTCTCTGCAATGTTGCACACACACACCATAAAACAAAGCAACAAACTTGTTATGACGTACTGTAGAAATAAAAAAATCATAAGCATAAGAAATGATATCTCAGAGGATATCCAGTCTTTTAGGTGCTCTTCAGTATCATCATCATCATGTTGATACCGCTTGGTTCCCACACTTTCCTGTCAACACAGCACTTTACGGTCACGCCCTCTTTCCAAATTTGCCCTGCTTGTCCTTGTTCTTCTTGAATTTTCCGTGTTGTGTCTCTTTCTTTTTCAGTTTTCCATGCTCTGGAGCCCCATTGCTTGCTTTTGTGTTTTCCCCTTCGTACTTCCTCTTCTTTTCACTGTTGGGAGAAGGACATTGTTACAAACATGTTTCTACAACATCCCAAACAACCACAGTCTGCCAAACATCCTGATGTCACTGCACCTTTTGATGCTGACGACCGCTGTGGTCCCTGCTTTCTTCAGCACCTGGTCCCATTCCTCATTATCTCCACGGATCGTGTACCTGTAAATACAAAAAGGAAATTATTAAAACTGCATATTTTCAAGATGCTACACAAATGACCAAAATCACCCCTCCTCAAAACCTTATACTCACTCTTCCATGTCCATTTCCTTGACTTTCTCCACATCCTGCTTGTGTTTCTCATCAAACTCCTTAGCCGCTTCGTTCTGTGAGTGACAGATTCATTTTTAAACCTTTTTCCCCCCAAACAAACAAACGCAATTTTTTCTTATATTCATTATTTTCCCTGATAGGTTACTTTACATAGAGGAAAAAAGAAAATCAACACTTTCCACATGAGCATTTGAAACCAGCAAAGGTTTGAAAAATAATCAGAGTTGTTAAACACATACCAGATCATCATTGAGGCTTCTGACAGTGGGCTCCATGGAAACGTCTATAGAAGTCGCCATCTCTGCCTCAATGGCTTTTTCTTGGATGCTGGTGAAGACCTAGGATTGTTTCAAGTTTCAAGCCTTTATATTCATGTGCACATTAGCTACAGGGTAGAAATGGCAATACAAAACTTCAGCCACAGGCTCCTCCAACAGTGCAACACATATACAAAGAGTAATGTTGTTGCAGAAGTATTACATTACATTAGATGGCATCTTCCTCACAGCATGTACGGCTTTTAGAAGTAAACTTACTTGGACAAATTTCCGGATCAGGCGGTTGAAGAGGCCCATGAGCTGCGAGCTTGGGAGTTCAATTTCCTTTTCCAGCTGGTCTACTGATTTGTGCTGTAAACCTATGCCGAGCAGTAGAGCCTAGAGGAAAAAAAGGGAAAGCAACGGGTTCAAATAAAACTGAATTCACGACAAAGAAAAATCTGAAACCATGAGCTCAAGGGAAACGTACACACTGTGCTGCGGAGAGAGACACGTCCCCGAGCTGCTTGAGGAAGAACATGCGAGCCACTGTTGGGACCAGGTCCATGATGAGGTGGTAGTCCACCATGCTCCTCGAATACAGCTCCAGGCGCTTGAGGTCGTAGGGGCTGAAATTGGAGGCCAGCTCGGATCTGCTGAGAACTGTGGAGGTCAAAGGCAGGTCAGAAAGTGTGTGAGGTGGAGAGGAAATCTGTAGGGTTAGAACTGCTACAATACAGATCAAAATATTCAAATGAATAAAGATAGGGCTCCCATTTTTTTTTAAAAGGACCACACAGTTGGCGTTTATATTAGCAGTTACAGAGAAATGATTCCAGGGACTTAGGATCTCAATGAAACTCGTTTGATCACACACTTCTTCATAAAATAACAAATATGGCGTTTGCATTTGAAGCACGAGCTGGAATAAAGTGTTCACAGTCTCAGAGAGCATGATACGTTTACTTTGGATGCTTACAACCTTTTGGCTAATAATCTGAACCTTCTGTTGAATAGGTTTTTCACTTCTGGAACCTCACTGTTGAGCTCTGTCTCCCTCTAGTAGGGATGCCAGAAAATGACCATGATCAAATTTGAAAATCGGACAGCCCTGGCGAATATTAATCGATTATTATTATATATTTTGGTTGAAACTAAGCCAGGAAAAAAAGAAAAACATAAATAATAATAAAAAAATATATAACTAAAATCGAATTTTAAAAATAATTTTCGATTATGGAGACTGTAACGAATATTCGAAAAATTGAATAATCGCTAGCATCCCTACCCTCTAGTGTGACAGCATCAGTTATTGAAGGAGTCTTACCGGTGGTCTCGTCCTTGGACTTCTTGTTCTGCAGGATGCTGAGTGACATGCTGGGATGGAAGCTGCTGAACTGGTAGGAGAGGAGAGACAGGAAGCGCCGGCGGAAATCTGAAGGAAACAATAACTTTGTAGTCAGACTATCATGAGGTCAAACAAAGCAGATCTCCAGAGGCAGTGCAGGGAAGTTGTTGAAGTTCACCTTTCCAGAAGGCAGAGAGCCACTGGCTCTGCTCCGGGGAGTCATCTGTGTTCAGCTCCTTCAGCATCACGCAGGAGTGCTCTCCTGTCAGGTCGTTCTACAGACACACACACAATCATTACAGCCTGTGACGACAGCAAAATGCACAGACAAATATATAACAATCTCTTTTTATACTTACAGGGGTTTGTCTTAAGTAGACCGGAGTATAACCAGCTTTCCTCCAGAACCTGCCAGGTTGCAAAAAGTTTTTTAATTTTTGAAATGAAATAAAAAATCTGCAAAAATACAACAACCCTCATCTCCATATTCAAGGACACTCACTTGAGCAGCCTTGTAGTAAGGCCATAGGAGACTCCCAGATAGTCCAGTCTCTCCGCTCTCCTCTCACTCAGCTTCAGCAGCAGAGGGGGGAGCTCTTTCCGAGGAGTGATCACCTCCTCCAGCAGACTGACAGCCTGCACACGAGAGACACATGAGTTTCTACCCTAGTTACAATGCATGTGTGTAATCGATGTCTTCTAAATATTGCTGAATATATGTCATTTCATTACCTCGCTGCTGACGGATGTGATCTCATTTGGATTTGAGCTTGTGCTCTCATCCATGGTGGGGAACTTGCCCTCGTAGTACATCTGCAGCAGTTGGAGAGCTCTGGAGCCGTAGCCCATCTGGAGGACAGGTGGAGAACCAGTTAGATTCAGAACATGCAGATTAAAATGAAACTGGGAACATGCTGAGACTTGTGCAAGCTCTTACCCCCTGGTAGTCTGGGTTGACAGCGATCCGCACCACTCTGCCTCCGGAGAGGCCGCCAAACTCTGGGTCTTGGAACTACAAAGAGAAAAAGTAGAGGATAAAATATTTGCTCGTTGATAATGTGAGTTCAAAAATCTCAAAGCGCTTGTATCGAGTGTGTACCTGCTCTGACACCGTCCAGGGAATCAGGTCCCCAGAGGCCTTCTTTCCTCTGGACAGACTGTTCAAGATGGACTGCCGAGATATTTCTCCCTCCAGACACACCTGAGAAAAACAAATGTACATTTACTAAGAGTCAAGTCAATTCACAAATTAAAAAGATAGAAGCATACACAAATGGTAATTTTTTTAATAAAAGCTGTAACTGAGCATATGTGTGTCTCCTGTGCTGCATAACAGGACTACAGCGGCAGCACACGATGAGCATAGTCAGGGTTTGGAGTAACTTACTTATTTAAGTTACGGTAACTATAGCAACAACATGGCTTGGAAGAAATAAACAAAGTCATGTTTTGGCTGGACTGACTGACATCAAATGTTCAAAATAAGCTAGTGACTAAAAACTCAACAGTTTGTCATTGACTAAAACTAAGATAAGTTAGGGTTTTCTTTGACAAAGATAAGCAACATGCCCAGACCTTTAGTCAACTAAAAAAAAAGAAACAACCTACGAAACCTCAAAATGAACAAGTAAAATTGACAGGTCTAACACTTAATGAAACAAATATCTGATCAAATGGCCGGCAGTCAGCTGTGTTTTACCTGCACCACAGCGAGGACCTCGGGCAGAGCGTTCTGTGTGGGGGGGACAGGAGGGAGGAGGCAGAAGAGGTGATGGGCCGGAGCATCGGACAACATCTGCAGGTCGTTGGGGGAATTCTGGATCCAGAGAAAATATTTGAGACGGCGAATAAACAAACAGATGACAGGATACTGTGCGTAGGATGCAATGTGATCCTCAGACTAAGATTCTCACCTTGTAGTGCGAGGCCACGTAGAGGGCCATCAGCCTCTGCAGGAAGGCCTCAGACGCCTTGTGGTAACAGAACAGGGTGTCTCTGTTCACATAGTACCTGCACAGTGGGGGTTAAGGACAAACGCAGAACAAACTGGTGTGTAGGAGTGTGTCACTCAGACAGTTGCATGCAAGTGATACAACATTTCACATTTTTCGTTGTCTGATTTGATTAACATAAGATTATGATTAGCTACACAGCAGTTTATTTCTTGTTTCATGCATTACATGTTATGGTCCTGAATGGTAATATCAAAAAAGAGATGAGAAGTGATAGAAAGAGAAATGTTCTCTGTAAGCCCCAAGTTTTGTTATATCTTTAGAAATATTTGAAGTGGATATTGGAAAACTTAAGAAGAGGGTTGAAACATACCAGTTGATATTAACTGGAAGGCAATAATTGATTTTATTACAAGTGTCATCCCCTTTTCTTAATTATATGTAAAACATGTTTTGCTTCCATTACATGCTGTATGTAAACCAGTATGTGGCAGAGGACAATAGGTCAGTAATGTAATGTAACCCGGGCTGACCAGGTCGGTGCATAAAGGATACAGGTCACAGGTCTGTGGGAGGGGGCAGCCGGAGATGAGTCTGGGTATGTTCATACAGTCGAGACACAGCAGGTCGTTCAGCCACTTCTCCACAGCGTCTCCAGGGGCGTACCGGATCGACTCGTGAAGAGTGACCTCGTGGAGAGAGCGAGCTGTGTGCAGAGACAGAGAAACAGTCAGTCCGTTTTGCTGACTCACATTGGTCACTAAGCAACCACAGACAGATCCCTGATGTCTGTACCTGCTGCCAGCCTCTCTGTGTTGGAGCTCCTGTTCTCTGCAGACATGTTCTGCTGACTGTCGGCACTCTGTTGCCGCAGCTGCTGGATCAGTTTGAGGGAAAGAGAGCGCCCGGTGCCTTCATATCTGCAGAGAGAGAGAGGAACACAGCGGTGAGAGAGGCCAAGAGCTACAGCTGAAATAGTGAAGTAAAGCTGAAATAGTGAAGTAAAACTGAAATATCAACCATTTCAAAACTCTATTCAGAATTACTGGTTGAAGGGTTCTCGAGGTGTGTTAAAATACAAATATTCTATTTTACAAAACTGAATATTATCAGGGGTTTTGACTATTGTTCAAAGAAAAATCCAGCATATGTAACCTAGGCTTTACAAACATCATATTGCGGATTTCTAGACTATTTTTAAACAAAACAATCCAAAAATGCATTGAATAACTGCTTTTTATAAATATTTGTTTTCCTTCCTTTCAATGGCTTTTATTGGTATTCATGTTTTTGCCAAAGCATCAAAGAACAAACTGACTTATAAATAAACCCATAATAATGAAAATACCACCTCTAAATGTCTTTGCTTGTATAGTTATTTGGACAAAAGTAGTGTGATATTGGATCATGCATGTCATCCAGCATACTGACCCGTTGATGGTGGAGGCCATGAACACCAGGTAAGGCCCCAGCAGTTTCTTCACCAGAGGCAGAGGGATGGCGGCGGCCTCGTCTATCACCAGCAGCTCAGCCTGACCCAGCTTCACTGCGTCTCCTGGGTGGATGTACTGTTGGTCACATGGACAGGAAGGTTAGAGGCGAGTCATTCAATAAATATGATATATAACTAACTTTGAGAAGAGTGGCCTGGTCTTGTTTACCTGGATTGTCTGCCGGTGCTCTTTGAAGATGTTCACTCTCACCACAGCTTTGTTGAAGTCTGGATTTAAAGACTGGATGATCTCATAGTCAAGATGCTCCTACAAAATGCAAAAGGGGATGTGAGCTTAGTGTATTAACGTACAGTCCTTGATACAGAGAAGACTCTCAGACTGCATACCTGATACTGCAGAGAATCAAAGCCTTTGAAGATGAATTCAAACATGGTGTGCAGGTTGTCCGGGCTCGGGGAGGTCACAAAGATATTGGAATAGCTGTGGACAATACCAGGAAATCAATATCAAATTAAGTCAGCGTAATATACCGAACTGGTTTATTTGTAAGACATTATCAAACCAATCTTACCCAAATGCAACAGCTCCAGCGACAGCCAGCCCCAGAGCTGCAGACTTGCCTCGACCACGGGCAGCCGTCATAGTCACGGTGGTCCGCAGGGTCTTCTCTGAGATCGCCTCGATGAACTTCAGCACTCCTTTAGCCTAGAGGACAATTCAAACCTTAAGATTTACATTTATTATGACCTGGACAATTATTGAGGTGTAATTCCTTTGTGTTGGTAACTTCAAATACGATCAGTACATTTCATTGAACATTGTACTTTGTATTGTTTAAAAGCTGAGAGGTACTGACCTGGTCCATGGTCTTGCAGCAGTCCACCAACACACCCACAGGCTGAGTGTCATGCAGAGATTCCTTTAGGTCCTTCAGCTCCTGTTCTCGTGGAGTCAGACCGTCCTCCTGAAGAAACGAGACAACAGGTCAGAAATCAGGAACAAGCAACAAGCAAGCAAACTTCATTTATGTAGCACTTTTTAAAAACAGTTGCAAAGTAGTTTATAGAAGTGAACAAAAAGACTGACAAGTCCCAAGTGACTTAGAAAGTCAAGCAACTTTTAAGATGCCTCAGGAGGATGTTCCGTAGTCAACGAGCAACAACAAATAATGTCTCCTATAATAAAGTTACCTGAGTCTTTGGAGGAATGGGCTTGATGTTCGCCATGTGGCTGGAGATTGGCAGGATGTTGAGTTGGTCGTCAATGACAACACAGTTCTTGCAGGATGCAAGTGACAGAATGAATCTGAAAACAGTTGAACAAAATAAATGAATACCATTTAACTTTTGGCTCCAAATGCTCCAAATGTTATGAAATCCATAAGAGCCCTTGCCTCTCATTGAAGCGTCCCACCACATCCTGATGAGCCTCGGTCCGGTACCGAGAGTGCACGTCCTGGGAGAAAAACAGACCACAATGATCCCAAGTCGAGCTAACAGAGTCTGACATGTGTGGAGATGTAACAAGTTAAAGACTTACCATAGTCATCGTGTAGAGCTGCTTGAGAGAGTTCACGGTCCTCAGCAGAATCACCACTATACCTCCTCCTTCTACGGTCTCAACCGTTCTCGCCAACAGGTTGGGAGTGAGAGCTTCAAAGTCCTGGGCGACACAGAAAACAAAACCTCAAATGAGTCGAGTCAATCTGCTACATCAAAATCTGACTACAGCCGAAAGGTTTGTGGGTTGTGAGCCAATTAAATGAACCATATTCCATGTTCTTTGATAGAGGCACTCTGGTGTGCAGCGGACGAGGAGACACTCACCTGCAGGACGCACATCCCGTATGTGTTTCCCAGGATCTTGTGGGTCTCGTTGTAGTAACAGTAGCGGATGTTGGTTGCAGCGATGAAGAGTTCAAACGGGTCATCCTGATTCAGGTTCAACGTGCCAGTATTTATTTTCTTCTGCAGGTGTCTCATGCGCTTCTTCCGATTGCTGTTTCAAGCATTTTAGACAAGTTTAATACCCTTCTCCTTTATTATACAACAAATGTCAAACAGCTTATTCTCTGAGGAGTTTACCTGCTGAAGCCCAGCTCTTTTTTGTAGCACCAGAGTACAGAGGGCCGTGCTTTCACACTAGCTTTAGACAGCATGTGATGCAGAATGACAACCTGGATCAAAGGCAGATTTAAATATTTAAAGGAACTTTAAAGGACTGTAGTTTCAACTACAGACAGCATTTCCATAAATACATCATTTACTAAACAGCAAAAGATTCATAGCTCATTCACGGTCACCATACATCATGGAAAAGGAAGATGCAGTGACACGACAAGCTGAGTTAAGGTTTGTTCAAAAGAAAATAGCAGAAAAACAACAAAAACAAGGGCTACCTTTGGGCAGAATAGTTGAGTATCTGGAAATCAACATATGAAGGATGTTGAGGACCCAAGCAGAATCAGTATCAGTTTTTCAATAGTCTTTACCATTAAGGTAACCCTCACTTCTTACACATGCTGAATGTCATAAAGTGCAGCACCATTGACATTTTTCTTAGTGCAAAAGGATGTGTGTGTTGAATTCAATTGAAACTGATATACACACAGCTATAGATTAAGATTACCTGATCTCTCCCACGATCTCCCACCACCACATATATCGTCCGGTGCTTTAGAGCGACTCCATTCTCAATCTGGACTCGAATCCGGTTGTCTATCTTCTTGCGGACTGTTGCCATTGTTTTACTAAGAGGAGTCAGAAAACACAAAGAAGCAAACGGTATGAGATACAGTGTGACAAATGGTGCAGTAACACCCACAGTGCTGTCAAATTGAGTTGTTCTTCACTAACATAAATGGTGATGTACAACATTTAACATCAGATATCTACCATTAAAACAGTCGCATTAAGTAGTGAAATAAAAAGAAATGCAGGAAGCATTCCTAATAAACTATTATCAGTAAAAGGAAATAATGATGTTAAAATGTTTAAGTTGCTTAAAACAGTAGAAATAAGGCTGTGTTTTCAGGAATATATTCTTATTTAATGGATAATCTTGCAATAATAATAATTATGCATCCTGTTTACATCTTTCGGAAACATAACAAAAAACACACTTTTTAAAATAAACAATAATGCATTTTTTTTTACAAAAGGCACAACCACATTTACATTCATAAAATGGGCTAAATGTTATGTATTTGAATGTTTTCGAGACGTTATTATCCAAATCGGCGTTTAAAAAAAGATACACGGAAAAACACATTTGATTACTAATTTTAAAGAGGAACTTATTAGGTAATATAGAAGTTGAACAATTCAAAAGTAATGCTGTAAAACTGAGTTAAGAGGAATGTTAGACTGAAGCTAACTTGCAGCCAAAACAAATGAGAGTTCATGGCAGCAGGGAAACTCAAATCAGCCACACAGCGAAGAAGAAACGCAATGAAAGTGTCATATAAATAAAATACACTTAATGTTTCCACTTACCTTCAGTTATCGGAACGAGTGGTTGTTTAATCTTTATGCAATTCCAACAAGTCAAGGGCTGATTTTATATGCTAGGCATCATGCTGTTGATACACTCACGTGGAGACATCCGTTCATGGAGGACCCCCAGTATGACGTCAGAACAGTGCGACGGCATCCTGAAAACATGTGGAAGTAAGTCCCCGAGTTCTGTATGCCAGGTGGAAAACTTTAACTCTTATTGCTTCATTTATACGTACGCGTTTATTGGTTTGATTTATGTAATAATATATCCAGTTTTAACGTTTCAAATTAGGGGCTGGTGATACCAGAAGAAGGAGGAAAGATCATTTTTGAATTCTACCTGTCAGCATTAGTTGAGGGGGGAAAAGCCCATTAACCATGTGCACCAAATGAGCACGCGCCTCTCTGTGGTAACATACCTAGTAGCAACCACAGCATGGACAATAGACTATAGAGTTATTTGGCTTTTTAATAAAACCGTTTGTCAGGGATTTGTTAGCATTACAAATAACATTTAGCCTAACAGTCCAAATACTTTTAAAAAAACAACACAAGTTCTTATTGTTGCTGTAAACAAATTACAGTTGATACAACATTTGAAAGGCAGCATCTCAGTTGTATATGAGATATAGTAATTAAAATAGAAATGTATGCACTTGTCACCTACGGTGTTACACTAATCATTCACTTCAGCATATTGCAGTCTAGTATCATTGGACTATAATTTACAGTCACATTTTAAAACATTGTATTTTATTGTTACTTGATAAATGGATCTTCTTTCACCTATTTTTAGAAACATAATAGCTAAATCTTTAAGTGCATTCACCTTTGAAAACTTAACTGCAGAGCTTAGTTTGTTTCTCTATGTCTACAGGACTAAGGGAAACATTACTGGTTACATTTTCATGATACTTGGTGCAAGTGTGTATCATGGGCCAAGGAAGAACACCTTACATTTTGGAAGATTGGGCTTACTGGAGGTCTACGCTCTATGGCCTTCCTAGTGGTCCTTTATGTTTAGCTGCATGTCTACATGTGTGCATTAACAACAATCTCCTTCTGTGTGTAGTGTCCACACATCTGGCAAATTAAACTGATTCAGATTGAGTAACTGTACAGTGGAAAACTAAGGCTGAAGCATGGGTATGCAACACAACTTTATTGAAGCTCTTGAAGCAACATCAATTTACAAACAAGGAAACGGGCGCTCATTGAACATAAAAACATTTTTTTAGAAACTAAAATGACAGTAAAGAACCAAGAAGGGGAACAAACTCCCAAGGGTTGGACCAGCAGTGGCAGGTGCATTTTTTTTATACAAAAAATAACTTATGAAATCTTTCAAGTTTACAGGAATATTGTTACACATGGCATGTGTAAATCGATGATTGGATTTACAGCTCAGCTTGTGTTTCAGACTTTAAACAATTTAATATTTCCAAATACCAAAGCAGAGTTTACTTTGATTTAAGGGACAGGAAAAATACCACTGATAAAGAACAAAAAAAAAGAAAGAACATGAGTGAGCTGGGGCGAATGCGTTTTGGAATTTTCAGTGTGGTGCAAGTTAGTCAGTCACAGTCATTATGAGAGGCCTTTTCAGGATCGTATCGCCTGAGTGCTGCCTCTCGACACTCCTCTGGGTCCCTGACCCGCGCCGCGCTTGTAGTTCGGTTGGTAACCCTCCTGGAGCAACAGAGGGAAAAAACCACATGTTAGAAACTACTCCCACAGAAAGCAAAGCCAACAGAGTGAGGACTGAAAGCTTCTTTCATACCCTCTGATAATTCCCGTTTGAGTAATCCCGAGGTGTGTTGAACTGAGTCTGTCCATAACCAGAGTTTTGAGTATTGGCGAACGGAGGACGATATCCATCATAGCCACCTGAAAGAAGGAAGACTTGAAACTTCAAAAGCTTCTCCTGAAATGTATACCAAGAAAGCTCTGAACATTTTGACCCTTCAGACATGCATGCAATTCTAAATGTCTACAAGCATCAGGGTTACTTTGACAGGTACTATGTTAAAAAGACAGTTAAACTAATCTGAATTTAATCAAAATGCTTAAACTGAAAAGCAACACCAGTATGAAGTTACATAATTCAAGAAAAAAATGTTGAATAATTGTAAATTCTTGTCATTTTAAATTAAAAAAAGGCAAAAATATTTCTAATGAATAATAAAATCGATAGGGACATTTGATGTCACTGTGAGAAGGAGTACCATGCTAACAAAGATCATTAACTGAGGCTTCAAAATTAATTAAAAAAATCTAAGTCAGCAATGCCATTTTCTCTGTAACGGTTCTGTTAAGTCTGACTTAAGCCATAATGTAATTGACACCTATGTCTGAATGACAAAAAGCCCTATCTTTAACAGATGAGGTGATGTCACTTAAGTGAAAATAAAGGATATGTTTGTGGCCGTAGGATGTGTTCCTACCTCTGAATCCGTTCGAGGAGCCTCTGTATCCGTTGATCATCCCCCTGGCGTTGCGAGGTCCGCCGCGGGACATGCCTCTGCTGTTGTAGAAGGACTGGCCCTGCCTGGTGAAGCCCGGGCCCTGCTGCTGGGGGGGCTGCTGGCCTGCTGACTGGTCCTGGGAATGGAAGGCACCAACTACCAGAAAACACAGTGGGTGCCCCAAAACGGATTCAAGTCAATCTCCAGTATCATTTGAACACAGTATTTATTCATAAAAATAGAGTTAATTGGAAAGGTCAGAGAATTTAAATGAATGTCTGTATTTATGTATAATTTGCCAAGACTTGGAAGGAAAGGGGTAATGTGTGTGTGTGTATGTGAGCAATAACGTCCAGATTTGAGTGGACTGTAAACTGAGGCAGGGGTGACTTTTGTGTACATCTCCATGTATGTTATATATTTTTGGAATAAATAAAAAGTTCAAAAAAAAAAAAGAATAGAGTTAATGGTAACTTTATGTCAGGAAGACAAATCTTACACAATCAATCCTGTAAGTACAAAATGAAAACATCTGCCCACCTGTCTGCAGCTGCTCT